TAATTACATTTAATCAGCGTTAATTGTGATAATAACACGTTACAAGCATTATCAACTTAAGAACACTGAGAACATAAGAACACTGAGAACATAAGAACACTGAGAACATAAGAACACTGAGAACATAAGAACACTGAGAACATAAGAACACTGAGAACATAAGAACACTGAGAACATAAGAACACTGAGAACATAAGAACACTGAGAACATAAGTACACTGAGAACATAAGAACACTGAGAACATAAGAACACTGAGAACATAAGAACACTGAGAACATAAGAACACTGTGAACATAAGAACACTGAGAACATAAGAACACTGAGAACATAAGAACACTGAGAACATAAGATCACTGAGAACATAAGAACACTGAGAACATAAGAACACTGAGAACATAAGAACACTGAGAACATAAGTACACTGAGAACATAAGAACACAGAGAACATAAGAACACTGAGAACATAAGAACACTGAGAACATAAGAACACTGAGAACATAAGAACACTGAGAACATAAGAACACTGAGAACATAAGAACACTGAGAACATAAGAACACTGAGAACATAAGTACACTGAGAGCCTAGAAACATCAAGAACTTCAGAACGACGAGAGCGTAAGAACATCGAGAACTTATTATCCGAACACATAGCTGATTCACAGTTGCGTTGGTATAAATAAAGAACATCAAGAACAAGAACACTGAGAACAAGAGAACTGAGAACAAGAACACTGAGAACAAGAACACCGAGAACAAAAACACTTGACTGCAGATGCAGCGCGAGTTAGCAGACGACTCAGACAGCAGCAGAAGCAGCCAGGCCCTGATGCTACAGTCGTCTGCCAGTCTCTCAACTTCCGGTCTGTCGTCAGAACTTGACCTTCGCCTCACGGCATCGGACAGTCCCGGCAGGTCAAGGGGCGGTGCTCAGTACAGTCCTGCTCGTGGCGGAGGTCATGTTGACCTTAAGGCCCCTGCCCCACAAAGTCGTGTTAGTCACGTGACTGGAGACGTCCAGAGATTTTTCCCGACCAATGATGACGTCTTCACGAGCTCCCGGCTGCCACAGAGTGAGTACCCAGTGAGTGAGTACAAATCTGGGCCACTTCCGGTTAGCCGGTACCCTGTGTCAAGTTTTCCCGGAAGTGAGTTCCCTTCTCTTGGATTTCCTGAGACGAATTACCCGGCGTCCAGGTTGCCGGACTATGCTTTTCCGGCAAACGGATATCCGGAGAAATCCGGACAATACCCTCAGAACAATTTCCCATACCCAATGAATAAAAATTAAAAATATTAAGTCTTGGAGTTGTGTTCGTAATTCTACTTTTTGTATCTAGAGGAAATAAACCACTCTTTAGTCTGGAGAACAGGCATGTTTGATTAAAACTTTATTTTCCCCCATATGCCTTTTTTTTTAGCTTTAGAAAATACTATTCACGAGGAGCCTAATGTTTTCTTTTAAGAACATATGCCATTTAAAAAACAATTCAACATTACCAAGATAATTAATTTAATTGATTAATATTTTATTCTAAAATATTTTTTAAAAGAGCGATTAAAGAGAAACAACCCACTTTTATTTTTAGTTTGCGAAATAACTCAGTTATCGTTAATTAAAATTTATCATTTTGTCATTCGGTAAGGACTGTTAGGCGGTTTTCTGTGGATATTACAGCTTCATCCCACCTCGCCCTCAGTGTTTCTTTCAGACTTTTTTCCGTAGGGGGGGGGTGGTACTCGAGGAGGAGGGGGGCGGAAAAGTATACATTTTCTAATCTATATAAATTCTATTTCGTTCTATTGTTGGGGGGGGGGGGGGGGAAGCAGAGAGATGCCTGAAGGAGACTCTGCCCGTCCTCACTCGAAGGGAGCCTCACCCACATCCACCCCGTCCACTTGGGCGGTAGCGCCTTCTTCGATTTACGCTATGCTTGTGGTAGCTCAAGGTATCCATAGTGTATGGCAATCTTTAAAAAGAACGTAGGCGCCAAGAGTCCCTAGTTCGAATCGCATGGGCAGATGAGGCTCGGTTATTTGGGGGACAGCAACCCATCTGAGGGAGAAAACTCCTAATCAAATCAGCTGCCACTTTATTGTTTTTTCTTTGTTGAACAAAGGCTATGGAAGCAAATCCAAAAAGAAAGGCAGGCTGAAATCGGAGTCAAAGGCCTATATGGCGTATATCAGTTTGCCACGTAATACTTAATTAATTAAGAAAATGGTCAACAAAGGAGAGTCGCCGTCAGTCATGTGGTGTCAGTTGTCAACAAATTATGCCCTCCCCTCCCCCTAATTAGTCAATTATATTGAATTTAGTTCTGCGCAGTCAACATGGAACCAGCAACGTCACAAAAAGACAGTGTGTCGTCACAGATTCAGAATTCCCTCGTCACACACGACCGAACCCCCACCCCCCTTTCTTTTTAATTTTGTCACTCAGGGAGGTACAACAGACTCGAGTTCTAGATCCGAACTCAAGACTCTGAGGCGTCGCGATGCGGAGGCAAGGGTGTGGACCGCACCAGGTGACACCATTTAGAGGGTGGCACCAAGACAAAAAAAAACTACAAGATTTATAGAAAAAAAAATGTTTTTTGCCAGTTCAATAGAAGGTTAATTTGAGTTAAAAGTATTTTAAGTACAGAAGGACGATCCCGAAAAGGAAACATGCTAATTTTAGAGAAAACAATGCTACATCCAGCTAACCGACTAAACATAAACATCCAGAGGCGTCGCGAGGTGGGGGCGGGGGTGCGGACCGCACCGGGTGACACCATTTAGGAGGTGACACCAAGACATAAAAATTGCAAGATATATAGAATAATTTTTTTTGCCAGTTCAATGAATGGTTATTTAGAGTTTAAAAAATATTTTAAGGACAAAATGACCTTCGCTAAATTGGGGGGGGGGGGGGGAGCACCATGACATGCAAACTATAGAGCAAAATTTACATATTTTAAAAAAGGGGGGGGGTGACACCAAGAGGGTGCTGCATCGGGAGACACTCGACCCAGCGACACCACTGTAACCATTATTAGTATTAAAGCTTTTACCGGTGGGGGGCGACACCAACTGCAAAATTTTTAAAAATATTATTGGGGGGGGGGGGGGGGCGGGTGACACCATTAGGTGCCGCCGCGTGACACCCAATCTAGCGACGCCACTGTCAAGATTTTCGAGCTAGCAGCCCATCCCACACACCAAATAAAACTAAATTTTAAGCGAGAAGCTGTGCGTGTCTTTCATCTTAAGATCATATAGCCATATCCCAGGAAAAATTCACTCGAGGCCAAATAAACTTGGACAAATTTGCATAATTTGACCGAATAGAGTACATGTGACGAGCCCAACAGTTATGCCTGGAAAGGTAAAACACAATGCAAGTTATGCAACTAGTAAAGTTGTGTAAAAATCATTCCCTTTTTTACTTTCTCGTATATACGTAGTATAGAGAAAGTATTGTAATCGTGCAAAAAAAAAAAAATCGAGATTTTTACAAATCTCGACGTTTTACACCTCACTGATACGGAAAAACATAATTTTGCAATCTTGTCCGTATGTCTGTGTGTCTGTCTGTGTGTCTGTCTGTGTGTCTGTCTGTGTGTCCGTGTGTAAACACGATAACTTGAGTACCGTTACAGCTAGGCTGGTGAAATTTCATATATAATAATTTTATCAAAATCGTAGATCCGTATCAACTTTTGAGAGAATTCCGATAACCGGAAGTGGTACTTTTTCTACTTTGAATTTTTCAAAAGCCTATAACTTGAGTACTATTTCAGATAGATAAATGAAATATGATATGTAAGTAAAAGAGCTAATTCTCTACTTTCTGTCAAATTTTGAGTAATTTCCGTTGACCGGAAGTACTTATTTACGCTATTTCCGATTTCTCAAAAAACGCATGTAAATTTATAAAGTACTAATAATATTGCGCACTATTATGCGCTTTTTTATTTAGCGTTCACTTGGTGTGCATTTCTTCTTTCTACGAGATTATATTCTATTTTAAGAAATGTGAGTATTTAAAATGGATTAAAAATCATGTCTAGAAGTCTATATCCCGAGTTGCCATCCCCTGTAGTGTTATATTAGAATATTCGAGAAAGTTTAGGGGAGATCACTCCCGGTTTATTTTTTACTTATTTGGGATCGTCCATAAATGACGTCAAACTCGTAGAGGAGAGGAGGTCCGTAATGAGGGGGAGGGGGTGGGGTTCAGATGGTGTGACATAACACTGTTAGAGAAAATCTACGTTAGAAAACGAATTTTAGCCTTTACTTCACGTTTTAGAAAACTGTTTAATAAATTGTAATAGGAATTGATTAAATACTCTATGTTGACAGAGTTCAGACAAGATTTTGGAAAAATATAAATGTTTAAAGAAAAATTCAACTGCAATTTTTAAAGGATGGGGGGGGGGGGGGGGGTTGCAGGCGGAGGGGTGACGTCATTTTAGGGGGGGGGGGGGAATCTGGCTTTTTGTGAGAATGTGTGGCGGAGGGGAGGAGGGCAGTGTTTCTTCCAGACTTATTTCTCCGGGGGAGGGGGGCACCTAATATTTCGGGGGGGGGGGGGGGCGGTCCAATTTTTTTGCGGACACTAGTAAAAGTATATTTTTACTATATAAATTCCATCTCGTTCGGGGGGGGGGGGGCAGTAGACTTTCTTCGGGGGGGGGGGGAGATGCGTGGAAGAAACTCTGGAGGGGGGAGGTAAAAATCGTCAAAAAGCGTCATGTCATTTATGGATGACCCCTTTTTACGAAAAAGAAAAACATTGTAATATTGTCTACTTGTATTATTTTTATTGTTTGCACTGCACTATACCTCTTATACGTTAATACGGCTCTAAATTTGTACAATAATTTGCCGAGGAAACCTTAAAGTTAAAGCTTTGAGACACAAATTTAAATTTTTGTATCCGTCGGTATTTTTTAAACGAAGACTTTTTTTAAAAGTGATTGCATGATCAATATTACAGTTACACCGGAAAAGAGGCACTACTCTTCGTTTACAAAACCGTAACTCTTGGTTCCAAACGACTGCATAAAACAAGTCAGGTTCCTTAGTTAATTTTCTTTTAAATTAATTCATTGTTTAATTTACTCAGCTATTTATTGTTTTAACTACAGAATACCAAGTTCTTAAAGCAGAAGACTTTAGATCTAGATTAGTTTGTTTGTTTTTGTTCTAGATGCAAGTTAAACATTCGTGAGTGACAGTTTGAGTTTGTCGTCGTTTATTAATTTTTTTTTTCGAAGTGACTACTCGAAAAAAGATTTTTCTCCCCAAGGTCTCCATTTATTGCTAGGGTTAAGGATAGGGATAGGATTAGATCATTAGGGTTGGGGTAAGGGCTAGGGTTCTGCAGCTGTAAACACACGCATGCGCAGTACCATCGAAAACACGGCCGCGATGGCAAGTCGTAGTTTCTCTCCATTGTGCATGCTTAATTTCAATAATTTGCTATCTTTTTTCCGGCTAGCATCGGCCTTTTTTTCCACTATTTTCTTTCTCTTATTTTGGTTATTTTTTTATTGGGGATACCGATTTCCGATAATATTTTATTAGTCTCTTCCGAAAATAGATGTATTTAGTATTAGGTTGAAAACCATGACTAAATTTTATGGCTAGAAATTAGGGGTAAGCGTATGGGTAGTCTCATGGTAGGACTAGCTAGCTAGATCTAGTGATCTAGTGTGTGTACTTCTTAGTACTTAGAGTAAATTACGATTTGCGAACACATAGCCTACACTGCAGCAAACACTTCGTCGGTTTTCGGCTCATAGAAACTTTAATTAGCATGTCTCATGCGAAACCATGGCCCTGCACTTAAACTGTATTTATGAACACTTCCATGTCAAGTACTTCAGTTTTCTCTCTCAAGATTTATTTTTAGATTTTTTTTCAACGTTGCTTGGTACGCACATTTCTATTTTTACACCAGCCGGATGAAGTGACCTAGGGTTGGACTTAGCAAAACTTGAACCAATCAATGCTTAGCTAAAAGGTTACACTATAAATAGCTTCTATTTATGTATGGAACATCATAAATGTCAAAGTTAATGGGTTTTTTTCTACTTGTAAAATAAAAAAGGGGTGTTCGCTCACTTATTTGGCCTTTTTGAGCTCTTACCTTGGAGGGAACGGCAACACTAAAAAATGTTATTAAATAGGAATTTAGAGTTTAAACCTAAACTAGATCTAGAATCTATCTAGTGATCTAATTCTATAAAGTAAAAATACAAGATGAATACGTAAAGTAAATCATTAGCCCAATAATGGAGACGGATAAGGAGGCTGAGTGGTCGTTGGTTTAGTTAGTTGGTAAATTGGTATTTAGAAAAAAGACTGCATCGTAAAAGGGGCTGGTTGTTGAAGGGAAAGGGTCAAAATAAAGTCAAGATGTGGTGGTCACTGAAAATGGAAGGGGGGGGGGGGGGGGGGATGATGTGACTTGGCTTGCTTAGCAGTGAACTTTGACATAGAATCTAGATCTATATGTAAGACAGTGGCTGAATGTGGCGGGCTTTGGGAGTGTGGGAAAAACGTTTTAACTATTAAAATTACTGCACAAACAATCAAAAACACAATATAAATGCATATAATATATATTTTTATTCATTCAATTGACTTTAAATTATTCTAAATTAAAATTAATCTAAATGAACATAATGAATGTGCTTTGTTCGATGACTTGTAAAGGTTTTCGAAAACTTGTAAGATTTTGAAGAACAGAGCAACAAAATGTTCAATAGCATGTAAGTTACTAAACCAAGAAATTGAAGAATGTCTCAGATTCTATGTGTAGGAATACATAAAGAAACATTATTACAGTAGAATGGTTGCGGAGTATTGGGGTACTTTTTTTTTCTATGACAAATAGTTACGGAATGAGACCCGATTGAAATCGGGACACGTCGTGACTTACGATTTTTTTTGCTGTGTGTGTTCGCAAATCGTAATTTACTCTAGTACTACTACTTACTTGTTCTGTCCTAATGTTAGGCAGGTTACTGAGGTTAGTGTTCTGTTACTGTTAGGGAAAGGGCACATTGTCAATAAATTCAATATTACACATATTCATATGATATTCCTTACTAATTTCAATGATTGACATTAGCAAGCTATATATGTGTATTCAGTTAACTACCAGTCCTAACTCCTTTTAAAGAAGATTGTTTATTATCCAATTATCGGACACCAGAGAATCTAGTTAGAAGTTTTAGTGACTAAAACCTTTAGTCACTCATTGAATCCTAATTTCAATCATTTGAAATCTCTTGAATGTTCCATTAAATATTTTAAAAACCTTAGGTGTCTCGTCAAACTCAGTCGAGTCTATTTTCAGTGGGCACAACAGATTCACTGTAATCAGTATTATAAGAAAGTATTTAGATAAAATGAACACAAAAAACATCAAATAAACTTTTTAAATTTTAAACATCAACTAGTCAAAATAGTTACTGTTGAAGAAAATAATTATGCTAATCCATTACCAGAATTTAAGGGACGGCTTGGTCAAATTGTAAAGCTTATGACTATTAACCCAAAAAAGACTTGATTTTTGGACTCGGTCTCGATGTATGATGTTCCTGGGTCCAACCAGCTCTGATGAGTAACTGACTCACATTAGGGACCTGGAAACAATGGTGATTGGACACAGTATTGACCTCACAATCCCATTGTATGCCTAGGTCATTGAAACAGATACACTCTACTTCATCTGCCCTGTATCTTGGCACCAACTTCTTGGAGAAGTTGATGATTATCAGAATTTATTTAGTAATTGTGCTAACTATTAAATAGTTAACCTCTACAACAATACTTTACAACATTTATCAATAATGATCCTAACAACTAAAATATAATTGTAGACTAGCGATAAGATGTTGTCTTTATATTACTCACAATTATAATCTCAAAAATATCTTCGCAGGTTTTTCAAATTGAATGTTAGTAAGTGATTGTGATGGAGACCAACTCAAATTACTGTAAAGTGTGTATGATATACACCAACTCAGCTGATCAGTACTCGATGCATCTGCTAGGAAAGGCGCACGCAAGGAAAGTGGCTAAAGCTGCACAGCCACCAACTGTCACTAGCAGTGCAGAAACAGGAAATGTGACCAGCAGTGCTGATACAGTTGCTGTGGCAACCACAGGTATTTAAAACCAGTAGAGGTTTTTTTTTAAGTGAAAAATTGAACTAATTTACTTGCACTGTAACCATGTCATTGTATTATGTAAAGAAAATAATGACGAATTTAAAATACAACACGCTATTTAAAAAATTTCTCTAATATTTGTAGTGGTCTGTTTATAAATAAAGCTTGTTTCCTTAACCTGACTTACTTAACTAGCAATTTTTAAATTTAGAAACAGAGACGGTCTCTACAGAACAGCCCAAAGCTCCCAGTGAATCAACAGAATCTTCTGCGCCGGTAGGAATATTTGATTATAAAAAAAATGTAGATAGATGCTAAAAATATTTTTCTTGTTTTACTCAAAACATGATTTAAATTGTAAGGTTACTAATAATACATAATCCATTTTTTTAGGTGACAGAAGAAGATAATGGCTCCACATCAGGAGAGAAGAAAAAGGTGAAAAAAGAAGTCAAAGAGAAAAAGAATGAAGAAAGTTTTTGTGCTGTCTGTGTTGTACGCCTCTCATCCAAGTCACAGGCAGATATGCATTTTAATGGGAGCAAGCATAAGAAGATGGTCAATCTTAGGACAGGTACTGCAGAAAATATTATATGGACAAACTGTTTGTTATTACTTCCCAGTAGATTAGTGACTGCTTTATGTCTGTAGGGAAATGCAATAGTTGTAGGCAGCTCCTACTTTTAATTTATATATATATAAAAACAATAGAATATTTTGATTTTAAAATATATTACAGGATGCACATTGTTTAAGAGTTGTCAAATATTTTATTTTTCTAGCAGGAAAGCTTAACACTGGTGTGAAAAGAAAACAAGAAGAATTCTGCGATATTTGTAATATAATTTTGTCATCTCCCTTAATTGCTGATGCTCATTATGCTGGATCCAAACATGAGAGAAAATCAAAGCTTGCCAATACTTTAGGCAAGTCATTGAATGATTGAGACTTGTGTGTCTAGTACAGGACATTTCTACCTCCCCCCCCCCCCATCATGTTAGATGTATTAAAGATAGGTGTGATACGAATAACTTCAGGATAAGTTGGGTTAGATATAGGTTTAGGGTTGGTATTAGGGTCAGGATTCTTGAGCGTGGGTTAGGGTTTTTTGAGTAATGGGGGAGGGGGGGGGGGGTGTTAATGTCCCAGACCTGTGGAATACCTGATCAAAGTTTGCCAATACTTAAGTAGTTGAGTGATTGTTACCTGTGTGTGTGTACCTGAAAGGAAACATGAGTAACTGTTTTTTTTTCTGTCACTAGGTAGAACTGATGGGACAGGTTTACCTGTAACTCAGCAGCCGGGTGGATACCAGTACCAGGTAAGTTCAACACCATACAACTTCATTAGTGAAATACCTATGTGGTCTTAACAATTGCTGACAGGACCATAGGTAGTTAGGCTAGCTTAAATACTTAAATACACTCAGTGAATATTTGATTACCCAACCCTGATAATTCTCTTTTTCATGGCACTATGACTTGTAGGGCTTGCTCATTTAATAAATAAACCAATGATAAGTCTAAAAATAAAATTTTAGTATTTTTTGTATACATGTGGTTCTTAAACATTGATTCTCTACAGACCGCTAATACATGAAGTGACAAGAACATTCAGTTTGTTACTGTGTTGGTTTGCACCAGGTGTTCTATAATTCAGGTCCTAATTGGGTCTCCCCCATCACCAACTGTGCACTCAGACATTAGCACAACTTTTCTACAGAATCTCCAGCAAACTCTCTTCCCTACTTTTAGTCACCTGGAGTGGGCATGCTAATTTTTAAAATTTACTTATGCCACATCAAACAATGACATAATTGCATTAGTTGTAGTGAAAGTAACTCAGAATGTTCAATACAAACAAATTACGTATCATAAATGTTTTAAGTAGTTTAGGCTAAGTTCTAGTTATAACATACCAAATACTATATACATGCACCTATACAGATTTACTGTGAATTGTTAATGTGTAAAATTTTTTGTTTTAATTTAATGTTATTTTTGGTTTAGCACCATTGCAACCATGCATAAGTTTCCTTTTTTTTAATGAGTTTTTACTGATCAAAGGGCAGACATGCCTATACACACAGTCCTTTTTTTTTTGTAATAAGCATGTATTTTTTCTCCAAGTTTGCCCAGGCCTCTGCAGATGGTGCACCACCTGAGGTCCAGTCAGCCCAGCCCACCACCCAGTTGTTCAAGTGTTACACTTGTGGTGTAAGTGTCAATTCTGATGCTCAATTGCAGGCTCATCTCAAAGGTAATTCACTGCCTTGTATACTTAAATAGTATGTTTTCTTTAGTGGTATTTTTTGTTGTTGCTTTTAGTAAGCATATGCCTAAAGAGTATTAACTCAGAGAATATTTTTTACAGGCAGCAAACACAGAAACAAAGTACTTGGTATTGAGCCTCAACCCAAGAAAAAATTTAAACCCAATCCACCTTCAAAACCAGCAGTACAGAACACAGCAGTGACAGCAAACCCAACAGGCTTCTATGCAGACTACCAAACACAGAATGCCAGCTACAGCCAGGGTACAGACGACTACAGCCAGAATGCCAGCTATGGACAGAACATCAACTATGGACAGAATGCCAGCTTTGGTCAGACTTCCAGCTATGGACAGCCAGCCAACTTTGGACAGAACCCCAGCTATGGACAGACGGCCAACTTTGGACAGAATTCCAACTATGGACAGAAAAACAGCTTTGGTCAAGATTCCAACTATGGACAAAGTACAAACTATTACAGACGATTTCCTGGTTTGAGCTCTTCTTTTATCATGGGCTCACAGGCTGAAGATGATAATGCAGGTATGTAGGTGTCAATGTTAAGTAAAACTGACTGGCATTTTCTCAGTTTAGGTAGAGTCCCATTTTTTTGTTTGTTTAGAACTGTTATAAGATGGCATGGCTGGGTTGTACAGTGCTAGACTGCTAACCAGTCTTTTAATTTGGACCTCAGACTCTAGTCTTTAGGACACCCTACAAGTCCGCCCACCTTAATGGGTATCTGACTTATGGATGTTAAGGCAGCTGGGCACACTATCCCTTCAAATAGTCTCAATTTAAATCTGCCTGACCACAAATTGAGAAATTCTGAGGAACATCCAGGATTATAATAGAGAAGATGCCAATCAGTTACACAAATTTACTACACTTTGGTTCCTAAAAATATTCATAACACTACCATACTGACAATCCAAGGAGATTGAATATTTGTTTTAACTAGTACTAAATGTATGACTTTGATTTCAGCTGTTAGCACAAATGTTGAACAACCAGCACCTATTTATAATTATTCAATGGGATATTAAGTTCTTAGTGAAGAAACAAATGAACCACTACAAAATAAGAGACATTCAAATTGTTAAGTATACTATTGTTATTTTTTTTCTTCTATCCTGCTTTTTTTAAAAATTGCTTTGTTTCCTTTTTTTTTTGTTCAAAAAATTTAAATAAGACTTGAGTAGAGAATGACATTTATTTACAAAATGAATGTGTTGAAATTGATACAAAAATATTGAGATACAAAATCAGTCCAATTCTCCAAGGTAAATCTTTTTATCACTTGAACAAGATGAAACTGCAGAGAAAACAATATTTAAGAGATAATTTTCTTTAAATGTCTATACTTATACCTAATACATTGTGATGTAATTCTGTTTGTTGAGACCAACACAATAACTTACTTATTGATTCATTGGGGTGGAAATCAACCTCATTGACTGAACCTGCATGACCTGGAAGCTTGTACACGACCCTACGTGATGTAGTGTCCCAAACGTAAACAAATCTGTCACCTGACCCAGCTGCCACACGACTGCCATCTGGTGACCAGGCACACCTTAACAAATTCTGTCAACAAAGGATAACCAATTGATAATGTGATAGTTTGATGTCTACACTTGCTTTTACACTTTCTAACTACATGTTTTACTGTTAAAACTACCTACCTTTTCAAATGTATGCTGATGACCAGACATAATTTTTACACATCTTTCTTGAGGAGCGTATGGTCTCACATCCCAAATTCTCACTTTAAAACAGAAAATAGGGAATATGAATTTTTATAAATATGTGAACTGTAAAGGTGCAAATGCGATTGTAGTGTACTAGCTTGATGCTATTGTATGTCCAGCTACACAGCTCAAGACTGCTGGCAGATTATAACTTATTGTAACTATTTGAAGTATATCTTTTCATTTGTTTTTATTACATGAGAACTCAATTTGGAATTGGGTGTGTTTATTCTCATTTTAAACATAAGTTGATTTTAAACGGTATTGTCTATACAGTTTTTTATTTCTATTATTAAAATGTAAAATATAATTCTCATCTTTGCTTTAATGTTCTTTTTTTAATGTTTGAAAGAAGTGTGCATTCGCAGGTTAGATTTTAAGACAATGAGCAAATGAAAGTGTATGAACAGGGTGTTGAATGGGAATAGAATATTTCTTAAGTAAAACATTAAAAGATTACTGAATGGATACACATCCTCTGTTACCAGTCTGAATAAAAGAACTATTAACTGATATAAAACAACTTACAAGTATTGTCCATAGAATTTGATAACAAATAGGATCCTTCAGGACTAAGTTCTAGCCCAGTCACTGTGTCTGAATGCCCTCTCATTTTGTATAAAACTGCATTTTTGCGCAAGTCCCAAACCTATGAAAAAAAATTGGATTCAGAAATAAAGCTTGACATTTACTTTTAAAATTTTAAATGTATCAACTGTAGTAAAGTTCCCTTTTCAAACCTGACGGTCTATAGGGCAAGTGAAGTAGAGTTCACTTATTTTTTGTGACCTCGGCATATGAAGAGATAGTGTGGTCAGCACTATGCCCAGCCGCCTTTACTTTCCCTAACAGTCTACTGACTTGAACCTGGATTCCAACTCCAGACTTACAGGTTAGCAGTCCAGCTCTCTATCGCTAGACCACTCCATCCCACATCAACGGCACTAATTAAAATTAATTAAATGCTGAAAATGACCTTTAATTCATTGTCAATTCCTCCTGAGATGATTTGCTCGGCTGTGTCATTAAATGTGACTGCTGTAACTTGGTAAGTGCACTGAAATGTGTTGATAGTTCCTTTCTTGCGAGCATCCCATGTCTAAAAAAGAACAAGACTTCAGCTTAAGAATTATTTAAATATTTCTTTAATGTTAATTATAAGCAGTCATTGTATAGTGCTGAGCTGGTCAAGACATCAACCTCACAATACATACATTTGTAAAAAAAAAAAATTGTAAAAAAATTTAAGGCAAGTTGACTTAAAATGTAATACTAAGAAAGCCTTAAAATTACAACTCTCAATCATTGTTTAAATTCTTAAATATATAAAAATAAAATATGCTGGTTGTTGCATTAGTAGACAACATTAAATTTATGAGTCTACTCAAGTGTTCCATCATTCTTTGGAGACAATTATTTTTCAGCATGTTTAAAAAAAATTCTTAAATGGCATACCTTAACAGTGCCATCATCACTGCCAGTGCACAACAGCTGAGGACCTCTGCGTGCTGGATTTATAGCATTAACAAAAGTTTGATGGCCTTTCAGTTTCCTCAACCTATCACCTGATTCAATATCCCAAACTGCAACAGTTTTATCAGTTGATGCTGAGAAAATCATGCTACAGAACAGACAAAAAATATTAAATTTATAAACATGAAACACCAAGTTGTTTAAGGAAAAACTAAACATTTAAAAAACCAGAGTGTGATAAATATGGTAAGAAACGTTGCTAAATCACACCTGCCATCTGTAGAAAAACTCAGATCCATAACAGCCCCTGTATGACCTTTCAACATAGCAAAATTTTCACACTCTCCATACACAGTCCAAAAATCTGAAACACAAAATATATTATCAAATAAAACCATAAGTAACATCAGTCTGTCTTATCAGGAACCTGCAGAAAATATTATTTTTTAATTACTAATGCAAGTTTTGTAAACATTTTGTAATTTTAATAATAAAGATGCTAATTCTGTTTTTTAAATGGTAAATTTTTAGTACTGGACTTGTACAAGGAATTAATGTGATGATATATCAAATGCAGATAATTAACAGTATTGGGGCAACCAATCTCTTATTGTAAAAGACTTATATGCACATACCAAACAATTATTTATAATTTTAACGAAACTTTCACAACCACAACTAAGGGTATCTTTTTATTTTTAAAAACATGTTGATGCTAAAGTTTTAAATGTCTACCTGTTATACTTTGCTCAAGTTAATACTAAAATATATTAAGAGAAGACATAAGTATTTGTGTATAAAGAGTTTTGAAGAAAAAATTAACGTACAGATTAGTCTATCGAATCCTGCAGATGCAAGCAACTGTCCATCAGGTGAAAATTTACAACAAAATATATCGCCTTCATGACCAGTCAAAAGCATGATTGGTGCCAGTAAGTTTGATGCTCTAGGAGGACCCTAAAATATATAGAAAACCACATGACATAAAAAAATCTTTTTTTTTAACAAATTATTTAGATTTAAATTTTACAGAATATTATTTTCAACAAGATAATAACATTAATTTTCTTCTTCTTTTGTTATTATTTTAAATTACAATATAATTACAATGTGAATGGAAACTATCATTATTTAAGTTAAAAAAGCCTTTACAGTTTATAGGAATTATAAATAAATATGGTATTATAGTTTTTATTAACCTGTTGACGATATCACACACTATACATCCTAATCATTATTTTACTGAAGTGATCACACACAATACTTCATGATTTTACCCTTTACACATCCCTTTCATAAACCCTTCAATATCACATTCACTACATGAAGTCATGGTCTCATCTGCATCTCTACTAGTTAGACTAATAGTATTATCATCAACATCAATCTGGACACAATAATACATTCATTCACTATTCACTCTATAGACTTTTTGGTAATCTACCGTTTTAGGTGTAAAATTGGCTACGGCTAGTAATGTGAAAAAAGTTTCCTCATTAAAAGTTGCTTTAATAAAAGTATAGGCCTATTGTAATATATTTGTGTCAAATATAGTAAATAACTGAATAATAAAGAAATCGCTAAATAATGGCCAGAAAATAATCCTGCTCACAAACAGCAGTGCTAGCAAGATTTGCTATACAAATAGCCGCCATCTGTAAATTAAGAGTAGTTTCCCCTGAATCTCTAACTATAATTTTACCACAAAAAAATCTTAAACAAGATGACTGCTAAAGTGCTTGGTTGCATCTGATGAAGACATCGCTGGATTAATTTATTACTGAAAAATTTTAATAGGCCTAAAAATTGTTTAAAAACAGGTACATGAGTGAAACTTTGAAACATTTTTGTAACTTTCTAGATTCTAGATCTAAACATCATAATAAAAAAAAACCCTCCTAAAAATATGAAATAATTACTAAAACTAAATTTAACGAGTCATCTTTTTATCACATTACTATAACTAGCCTCTGCTGATTTTACGTGGATCTACCTCCTAAAACGATTGAGTACCGACTTTTTTTCTTACAAATCTGAATATTAGGCTTTTTGATGAGAATTACAGAATGATTTTTTTCATTAAAAATGTATTAATAATAGCTAGAATACTAGTAAACTAAGCTAATTTAGCATATTTTAACTTTCTGTGCAAAGTCATTATTACTGAAAAAAATTCCAAAGTCAGGTCAGCCTGTGGCACCCTCCACTGAACTTGAAAGAAGGAAAAAAAACTTGACCCGTGACCTTCATTAAAACAGAATTTACTTATGTTTCTTTTTTAACTATTAGTAAACATGTGCTTAATATTACCCAATAAGTAATAAAAATTTGACAATTAATTTTAATTACTGTTGTAAAGTGAGATAAACAGCTTAATAAACACGTGTTTTCTTGAGGGGGTGTGACCCGGGTGTGGCACATCGCATGTAACTTTTTATTTCTGTGTCTTATGACTATTTGTTCACAATCAGCATGCTATGCTTTTAAAATTGATAAAGGGTAAGTATACCAAGCTACAAAACCTAAAATCTATTTCAGTTTAAAAAATAATAAAAACGATCATCAATGAAGAAAGCGTAAACATTCTATTTTTAGGTGTGACATAAAAAAACAGTCATAAACCTAGCCAAATGATTGGATTCTTGCGCGGCACACATTTTCCCGCGCCTCGTGTTCACCAAAAAAGATTATAATAAAATGGCATTATTACTTGAACGGACCACATCTCATTCCGACCATAAGTTATTACCAGTTAATTGTAATGTGTGTAAAATTGATACTTTCAAGTTTCATATACACATAGTTTGGTTTATTATACACGGGGTATTTTAGAGTTATTTGATTCGAAAGATGAGAATTATATAGAGCTACTTTCACTAAGGCGCCGCTTGCGAGACAAACAAAGAAATTAGGCCAAAAGTAGATCCGACAATTCTTAATTAATAGACTTAAATAGAAACGGATAGTTCCGATTTCTAAAATTAACGATGGCTTCGTAATCATTAGTTTTATCCCTCTACCCATTAGTGAAAGCGAAACTGGTCGCCATTTTTGGTAAGCGCATGAGCCGTGAGATGGCTTCAAAACAACAAACCCGGAAGCTGTGAATCGAACGGCCTACTGAATATCTTATAAAATTCTTCCAATCACACAGTATCCTGTTTAACATTATCTGTTGTGTCAACATCAGCAGGATGGGGATATTATTGCTGGTAGTTTTGTAACTAATGTAATGTTTCTTCCTGACTGTTTTCTTCAGAGTTAGCCGGTAACTGCCTGCCACTGCCTGGTCTGGAGTGGTCTGGTGATCATCATTGGATCGGAATATGATATGGTGGTATTATTAATAATATGTCTAAAAATCGCTGATCGATAATGTACTCACTGACTGAACAACGGCTCCTAAATGGTGGGATCCTATTGGAACTAAATCTTGCCTTGGCTTTTTAAATGGTACAACAGCACTATCCATAGCTTTTCGTTTTAGCTCCATGGTGGCCATTTTTACTTAGAGAGAAAATAAACTTCTAAACAAAAGTCTACAACCGGAAATAAATTACTGCCTGTAGCTTTTCAAATACAAAACGGTATAAAGAAGTAAACGAAACAAGTAAACAATCATTACATAGCATTTTAAATTACAATATTATATATATAGGCCTATATATATATATATATATAGGCCTATATATATATATATATATATATATATATATATATATATATATACTATATAATGTTCTAGGCCCTATATAGGCTACTAGATCATAGACCTAGATCTACAACAACAAAAAATAATTATTTTTTGTTCATTGGGGCCTAGTAAAAATTAAATGTACTAGATCAGGGGTCGGCAACCTGCGGCTCGCGAGCCGCATGCGGCTCTTTTGATATCAAGATGCGGCTCTCCAGCTCCTTGAACAAATACTAATAATCTTAATAAAAAATAAATTTATTTGAAATAAAAAAAATGTTAGTGGCTCTTTAAAACCATGGAAATTTAGAAAATTGTAACTTTTGGCTCTTCCGCTTCAAAAGGTTGCCGACCCCTGTACTAGATCTATGTATAAATGATTTTCTTTAAATATATAATAATGAACTACTATTTAAATAACTAAAAATAAAAGCATGAGCCGCTATAATATGTATTATTATTATTGAACACCTTTAATCGAATTTAAGCAGCGACCCAGCTTTTATTTTTAGTTATTTAAATAGTAGTAAGTTATTATAAAATATAGTTCAGGAGCATAATTTATTCTCTCCTTTTTAGTGCGTTATTACATAAAAGCTTGTAATTAAAGCGTTTTTTGTGTGCACTTTTTCCTGAATTTTGGTTTTGTATAATGTAATGAGCTTTTTTTTTAATTTCTTTTTTTTATACCTCGTTTGACACCCCCTTAGGATTTGCGCCCGGGTAGGCCACCCCACTCGCCCTCACCTAGCTACGCCTCTGTCTTCTGTAGTTTCATGAATTGAATTTTTAAATATTTTTTTTTGTAATGGTGAACAACACACAACCTACGGCAATAGTAAAAAGGTGTTATAGTTTGTTTGAGTTGAACGTAGGTTGTAGCAGTGTGTACGGTGGTAGAGCATCCATTATATAATTTCGTTTCAATAAACGAACTTTGACAATTTACATACTGCAGCAGCACCATTAGGCTTCATTTGGTGTCATATTGGGTAATTTTAAAGTTAGAAATGAAAGATACAACAGATTTACTACCAGGCGCCATTTTGTTTTTAATGTCTATTGCACTTTGTCTAGGGATTATTAGTATTATTGAAAATTAGTATCAAATATATTAATAAACTGCCAAAAGTGAATATTATTATTTATTTACAATCGAATCACTTTACTAATATAGCGGGAGTTTCTTTTAGACATTTTTTCTCCGGAAGGGGTAGGGTCACACTCAGTGGCGTAGCGAGGTCGGGTGTCACCCGGTGCGGCACTTAATGGTGTCACCCCCCCCCCCAGTGGCGTAGCGACCCTTCCCGGGGACAAACTTTCAAACTTTTGATTTGCCCCCCCCCCTCTCAAACTTTCGATTTGCACCCCCCCTCAAGTTTTTCTCTATATATTTTGCTATTTTTTCCCTTGGTGTCACCCGGTGCGGTCTGCGCCCCCCGCCCCCCCCCCCCCCCGCTACGCCTCTGGTCACACTTAAATTTCCAGAAGGTGGCAGACACTGGTTAAAGTGACTTTTTTAAATGCAAATCTTATAGGCCTGTATTTTTTTTTTTTTTCGCCAGAAGATTTGTCTGAAAGAAACTCTGATTGTGAAAAGACATATAAGAAGCAATTATATGCATGAGGTGTACACATAACAAAATGTAATTACTTTGACCCATTTATTTTATTTACCAATCAAAACAGAATCTTAATGAAAAGACTTCGTTATAACAATGTGTAGCCTACACAGTGCTCACTTTAAAATCTAATTTTTAATGGCAAGCCATTGCACCATGGCATAATATATTTTTGAGTCATCCCATGTTTCTAAGACAATCTGCACGCCAGTCGTGGTGATCTCCCCTGTATAAAGGTGATACCTCAAGTTTGCTGTTTTATCCATATCCAGATGTAACACGGATAGCATAACAAGTGGTGCTGCACCTACGTAAGGTCTGGAGAATTTGACCGTCTGCACACTTCTCTTTGTGTTGCTAATCCTTGAATAGGAGTTCGAGTTTTCAAATACTTGAATACCACTTTCAAAATGAGGGCTGACCGAGTCAGTATAATTCTGAATGCAACTTGCCACTATAAAGACGATTAAAGAATACGATTTTTTACATATTCAATATAAAAACTTTTAAATTATAAAAAAAAAATTGCATAGAAAGTTCTATTTTTCAAAAGATTTTATAATTTCTACAAAAAATAATAATAGAAAACCCGCCAAATAACAATATAGACTTGATTAAATAAATACAAATATTTTTATTTGATTTTTTATTTAAAACTGTGATAGGTGTCTATATTTCAGAAATATAAGATGCTTCATAATTTAAAAGTTCAATCTAGATGTCTAGGATATAGCTTTACATACTGAAATAGTATTTCGTTGAATAGTGTTGATTTTTTTTAAAAATGAAATACACCATACTACTTACAATCAGCAGATGTTGCCATTGAGATCAAATTTAAGACTACAACAGCTCGATAACAGAACATTTTTTTTACTGAAAACAAATTAAATATATTTTTTAATAATAAAATGGGTTATTACTTTCTCGTACATTGAAATCGTGCAACAAATCTCGAAGTTTTACGTCTTTTTTAGTCGGAAAAATCAGTTGTGTCAGTCTCTCTGTGTGCGTGTATTTGTGTGTGTGTGTGTGTGTGTGTGTCAACACGAAAATTAATGATATATAAAGTGCCAAAAGTTAAACAAAATACTTTATCTATATATATAATTCTGTACGTCGTCCAACCATGCGGGACACCACCACGCAAGCCGACTCTCTAACCCTGCTCCCGCCCCTCCCTCGCCGCCTCCAGGCATGCGCAACAGACCATATCGCTATCACCCCCATCCCACCAGTCTAGTGAGCTGTGGCTCACGCCGAATGTTTACAATCGTAGATCCGGGTTGAATTAGTGACGGCTACTATAGGCAGATAATTTAGTTTTTAAACGATTTGAAACTTAGAGGAGATAACAAGTTCTGCTTGATCTTTTCATTGTCGTCTGTAAACTGTCGTCACGGACGGTTGCTTTCACGGGGGAGGGGGGGTAGGGAGGGTGAGGATAATCGTCCTTTGCGACCTACTGATAGTGTTTTAAAGCAAAATATTTTCAGTCGCAGCATTGGTACTGGTACTGTCGATTTCACAAATTATGAATTACTGAAAAGTAGAAAATAAAACAACTAAACAGCGGCGTATGCTGTAGCATACGGGTCGGGTAGTTTTCTTATATCCATGCATAACTATGATACTCTCTCCACTCTCCCCCTTGATATTCCATAACATTTTCTTAGATTTATGTATATTTGTGGATTTTCCCCATGTTTAAGAAATATGAGCTTGACTTTTTTAGGGCTGATTTAAACGCAAGTCTACATAAAAATAAAAAAAAAGAATCAATTTATTAATTGGCGCTTTGTCATGTGCTGAAAACCTTTTATGTTGATAAAGATATTTAGTTTTCAGCATATAGACAGCTTTCTTATCATATACACACAAAAATAACAACAACAAATACAATTTAACTACAAATGGCTGATTAAAATCAATCACTGTGGCAAAACTCACGAGGTTTAATCTCTTTCCAACAAAAAATGTAAAGACAGTCGACCTATACTATCACACAGTAAATATGTGGTTTAAATAATCTACAACGGATTAAATTGTTAAATTTATTTCATAATGAGAGGCCACCGTCAGTGTTTGGGGTACTGTTTGATGTTTGGAATATCGTTAAATGAAGTTTTTTGATCTAATTTAATCAATCTTGTATAGGCTACTACTAGCACATCTTTTCCTTGTATGGTTATAATGGTCGATTACAGCTAGCTCTACCATATTGTAAACAGATGGTGATGAATAACGAAACGCCAACACATAACTGAATAGTTTTCTTTTTACTTCGATAAAATAAGATAAAATTCCAAACATTCGTTGCTGGTTAATGAGTTACAACATCTGTTGCATGCACAGTTTGAAAGTCCCTTACACTATCTGTTTTCGTGAATTTCGTTGATTTATATATATATATATATATATATATATATATATATATATATATATATATATATATATATATATATATATATATATATATATATTCTCTCATTATACTGATTCACTAACACATTGCTTGACGTTTTATTTTTTATGTAAGGGAAAGTTAAAATCGAATATTAAACAACTCGATATTTTTAAACACACTAGTGTAAAATTTAGTCCATAGCAAATTAATCTCACCCCCACTCATACACACCACTCTGCCTTTATCAGTGTTTTATTTACCTCCCTAAATATTTATTGTATTATTTCAAAATTGGCTTTTTCTAAGAATATTTCTATAGAGGAAAAGAGCAAACAATCGCATGTTTCTGTGTTTAATTTAACTATATTTTCGCGTATTTTAAATAAATTTAATCAGCCGAATTAGAGTGACGGAGAATGTCATTCTGCTGACTTCTACGATAGAGAACACTTGCCCTATCTATGAAAAGTGCCAACCTTGTCTACGAAAGCTACTGCGAGAGTTACGGGGTTTGTTACAAGCATGGATAACTTCCCCTCACAGCGGACACACGAAGCGAGAAAAAGAGGGTGACGGGGTGTTAATCGGTTATCATCACGAGTTGTCTCTCTTGTTATCGTGTTGTGTTATCTAGCAGTCATTTACAGTGCTGTTTCGTACAATGTGTGATGGTCAGAAAGGAAAATAAGAGTTATTCATCAACCACGATTTATACGAGATAATAACACAAAAGGTAATTGATTACATTTCATTAACATTTTTTCCCAACTTTTTGTATATAACTTACATGTCTAAAATAGACCAAACTAATTAAGTATGACGATGTTTTGATAGAGTTGTTGTGGTTAACTGAAATAGGAAGAGGTGAGAAGAACTAGATTCTAGATCGTTTGTTTTGTAACAAGAACAGCTTAGTGATAAAGTTAGGCTATCTAGCCTGTATATCAGAATGAGGGTTTTTTGTGTTAGCTTTTTTATGGGAGGGACACTTAAGATTGCATGAGAAGCCGTCGTTGTTTACACGACAGCACAAAAAGTTGTTTTACTTTGAGAAACCAGAAATCAAATTTTGAAATTAATTCGACCAACAACATTGCGGCGCTTCGGTGTAGTAAATATTTTAAAATATATTATAGTGGATAAAAATATAATTATTAATTAAGTCTAATGAGTATTTTGAAATTAAATTGTCAAATGTAAGCTGATTTGATCTTTTAATAATGTAAATCTAGATTTTTATGTACAAAAGTGTTGGTCCTATTTTAGCAAACGAGAATGAACTGCTTTGGAGTGGGGGTTACTGTACCGAAAGGTTGGGTTGGTATTAATGTAAAAAGGGCTGGGTTGGTGTTAATGTGTAAAGGGGTTGGGGGTTAGTGCACAAAAGGGCTGGGTTGGTGTTAAGGTACAAAAGGGTTTGGTTGGTGTTAAGGTACAAAAGGGTTGGGTTGGTGTTAAGGTACAAAAGGGTTGGGTTGGTGTTAAGGTACAAAAGGGTTGGGTTGATGTTAAGGTACACAAGGGTTGGGTTGGCGTTTATGTATAAAAGGGTTGGGTTGAGGTTACTGATGGGTTGGGGGTTGGGGTAACTGATGGGTTGGGGTGACTGGAAAAAGGGTTGTGGTGAGGGTTTTGTAAAAACAAAAAGATTAAGGGTTGCAGCCAATGTGCATCTTCAAGCATCAAGATGCTATATCCACTCCTGATGGAGTTGAAATGCAACTTGTTGCATTTATATGTTTCACATTTCACACCAGTAGATGTGCAGCGTATCGCCACTAACAGCTTTAAAAAACGGCCGTTAGAAACAGACCTTTAAATTGGTATCGAGATAAATAATTTCAAGTGTAACCAGAAATATATCACCAAAGTACATTGTTGACTAAAAAGTTTAAAAATAAACCTCAGACATTCGTACTATTGATTTTTTTTAAAATTATCTTTTAAGTGAAATCGATCAACATTAATTGGACCACTTTAATCTTTATAAAATTCTTATTGGTTTTATTGGCGACAAGTGTAAAGGATCGGGTAGGAACATATTTCGACGGTGACTTTTTGTGTTTGATCCGCCCGGTGTGAAAACACTTGGCATAAAAGGAAAGTGTGTTCAGTTATGCGAGTCCAATGAAGTGTGACTATCTTAGAGTCGGACCGACACCCGCATTGTTGATTGCCCATTGCGTCTGGCTTTATGAAGGGGGCGCCACTGTCACACGAGAACTCTCTTGAAAAGGGGGAAAAAATGAAATATAAATAAAATAAAAAGGCCGTTAATCTTTGCATGTTGAAGATTTTATTGGAGGTTGTAAATAAATGTCAACCTGGTTTGCCGCTTGCGGTTTTAACAAATTATTGACACTGTTCGGTAGCAACACAAATATAGCAGCTGATTATATCTGTTACCAGTGGGTATTTAGGAGGTGTTGGTGGATGTTGTACTCCCCCAATTACCCCAAGTAATGCCAAAATTACAACTGTTTCACGTTGAGTTACAGTTATTGGGTACGGTGGTATGATGTTTGTGGTTTATAATTTTAGTTTTAAAAACTTGAATGTCAAAAACCACTACTTTAAGTTCTTGAATTCATTTTGGAAATGTATATAGGCTATATGTTTGTGTGTGTGTGTGTGCGCAATATCAACGGCACGGACATGGGGTGTTAGGTGTGGTTGTGTAGTTGTGTGGGATTGTAGTTGTGTGGGTGTGTCATTGTGTGGGTGTGTAGCTGAGTGATAGTGTGGTTGTGTAGCTGTGTGGGTGTGTCATTGTGTGGGTGTGTAGCTGAGTGATAGTGTGGTTGTGTAGCTGTGTGGGTGTGTCATTGTGTGGGTGTGTAGCTGAGTGATAGTGTGGTTGTGTAGCTGTGTGGGTGTGTCATTGTGTGGGTGTGTAGCTGAGTGATAGTGTGGTTGTGTAGCTGTGTGGGTGTGTCATTGTGTGGGTGTGTAGCTGAGTGATAGTGTGGTTGTGTAGCTGTGTGGGTGTGTCATTGTGTGGGTGTGTAGCTGAGTGATAGTGTGGTTGTGTAGCTGTGTGGGTGTGTCATTGTGTGGGTGTGTAGCTGAGTGATAGTGTGGTTGTGTAGCTGTGTGGGTGTGTCATTGTGTGGGTGTGTAGCTGAGTGATAGTGTGGTTGTGTAGCTGTGTGGGTGTGTCATTGTGTGGGTGTGTAGCTGAGTGATAGTGTGGTTGTGTAGCTGTGTGGGTGTGTCATTGTGTGGGTGTGTAGCTGAGTGATAGTGTGGTTGTGTAGCTGTGTGGGTGTGTAGATGTATGGGGGTGTAATTGTGTGGGTGTGTGGTTTCTTGGTTGTGTAATTATGTATGTGTAGCTGTGTGGTTGTGTTGTTGTATAATTGTGTGGGGTATAATTTTGTGGTTGTGTGTGTAGTTATGTGGGAGTGTGGTTGTATAATTGTGGTGTTGTGTGGTTGGACAGCTCTTCTCCTCACAATACCTGCGTGCCACAGATTTCCCATCCAGATACGTGTTTTTATCTGTTTTATGTTGAAGCACACAAAAAAAAAAAGAGTAGGCCCCATGAAACAGGGGAGGTCACCCAAAAAAAGTCCGCAAATACTTGAGAAGCGAGAGTGAAGAGCTCTCGACAAATTAGTTATTATAAAACACTTGACGCTGCATACGTTGACAATGTCAGCATGTATGTGTATGTTACGATACCATAAATTGTGCAATGCGGAATTTTTCCGACTGGTGAGGTTAAATTCCGAGTTTAGACGTCAGCTTGTTGTAAAGAACCATAACCCTTATGTACTATCAAATAGCCCAGGGGTCGCCAAAATAAGGCCCGCGGGCCGGATGCGGCCCGTGAGGTCCTCTCATCCGGCCCGCAGAGATTTTTTTGTCCACGGAAAAAACGTTTGTCGGTGATGGCTGAGGAACTTTGCTCAGAAAAATCAAAGACATGCCTAGAAAGAAATTGGCCCCCGAACTGAAATTTGATAGTTAATGCGGCCCTCGGACTAAATAGTCTGGAGACCCCTGAAATAGCCTGACGACTTTTATCACACATTAGCAAAGTTGTTTGTAGGTTTACTCAATAAAAAACAACGAAAGAGCATCTACTGTTTATAAAATTCTGTAAACAAGTCAGTTCAAAGAAACGTCGTCAGAAAACGTCTAGGGTCAAGGTTACAAGTGTGATGATAGTGAAAAATGAACTTCGATAAATAAATTCCTATTGGTTAGTCATAATTTCAGAAATTCTTTCACAAAATACATTCCTCGATGGTATAAGACCAGTGTTTCTTCCAGACTTTTTCTCTCCGGGGGGGGGGGGGGGGGCACTTGAAATTCTCGGGGGGATGGGTGGGGAGGGGTGGACACTGTATATATTTTCAATATAAATTATATAAATTTCATTTCGTGACAAAGCCCCCCCCCCCCCCCGAAGAGATGCCTGGAAGAAACTCTGTATAAGACAGTCATGAGGAAATTAGTTTTTGTTTTTATTATTATTATTAATAATTTTTTTGCCATCAAGGCAAATCACAGTCGGGACTAGGGTAAGGGTTAGGGTAAGGGTAAGAGTTAAGGGTCATCCATAAATGACGTCACGCTTTTTTGACGAGTTTTACCCCCCCCCCCCCTCCGTCACACGTCGTCACAAAAAGCCAGACCCCCCCCCCCTAAAATGACGTCACACCTCAGCCTACAACCCCCCTCAAAATTGCAGTTGAATTTTTGTTTAAAACATCGATATTTTTCTAAAATCTTGTCTGAACTCTGTCAAAATAGAGTATTTTAATCAATTCCTATTACAATTTATTAAAACAGTCTTCTAAACCGCGAAATAACGTCTAAAATTCGTTTTCTAGCATTGCTTTTTTTAAAATGCAAAAGTGTGACGTCTCACCATCTGAACCCGCCCCCCCCCCTCCCCCTCAACACACACCGTCACAAAATTACGGACCCCCCCTCCCCCTAACGAGTGTGACGTCCTTTATGGACGTCCCCTTAGGGGATGGACTAGGGTAAAGGTAAGGGTAAGGGTTAGAGTATGGACTAGGGTAAGATAAAGGCTGAAAAAAAGTCCTGTTAATTGAAGAAATAAATTTCTAGTCAACATTCAAGAAGTCTCAGCGACATTCCATTTGTCTCGCCAATATTCCTTCCATAAATGCGACATTCCATTTGTCTAGGCAAAATTCATAAGGAAATACGACATTCCGTTTCTCTAGGCAACATTCATAAGTAAATACGACATTTCATTTCTTTAGGCAATATTTATAAGTAAATACGACATTCCATTTCTTTAGGCAATATTTATAAGTAAATACGACATTCCATTTCTCCAGGCAACATTCATAAGTAAATACGACATTCCATAACTCAGAAACATTCTAACATTACAAGCTATTTATCAAAAACGCAAATGATTATCTGATGACAGTCCTGGTCGTGTTTCTGACGTGGGGTACGTCTCACAAGTCACGTTCTAGAACATTCTAGGCTGGATGAACTTTATCATCCTGGTTTCACCGAGCCTGATTTTAATTACTGGAAGATTTATGAGGCCTTTGGGGGGTCAGGCGGTGTATTAAAAGATAACGATTCGGCTACATAATATATGTTGCCTACGTAACAGCGTGTTGTATGTGTATAGGGGGGGGGGGGGTTGATGGGGATCTAGGCTTGGGAGCAGGCTACACGGTGTAGCCATCGTGATATCTTTTCTTGTATACAAGTGTGTCCAAGAAAAGGAGATATGGTACTACACAATATGTGACATCTTCATCCACTCCTATTACTTACTACGTTGTATTACAATTCACCTGGCCGCCCATAGAAGTAGATAACCAATACAATCTATTTCAGTGGGGGGAGGGGGGAGATAATTACTTTTTTTGGTTTAAAAAAGGGAGGTAACTAAAGCATGTGTGATAAAAAGGGCAGATAATTAAAGTTAGTAGGGGTGAAAGGTGTGACAGAGCCAATGATGTAGGCAGTAGGGTAGGGGTTGTGATCCCCATGGACCCCATCCCCCCCATTAAAAAATGTAACTAACAAACCACTCTTTAAAAATTGTTTTGGTGTATACTTAAGTCTTGTGTATGTTTTACATACACGCACACAAACACACACACACACACACACACACACACACACACACATATATATATATATATATATATATATATATATATATATATATATATATATATATATATATATATATATATATATATATATATATATATATATAAAGCTGTATGTTGATTGGATAAAAAACCAAACTAGTGAGTCAATGTCTCTATATTTTATCTGCTAAGTGTTATATATATATATATATATATATATATATATATATATATATATATATATATATATATATATATATATATATATATGGGGGGGATATAATTTTAAACTCACATTGACTTACTGGACATGGGCATGGGGCTTTGGGGGAAGCAGTGTGTCCCCCCCCCTCCCCCCAGTGTTTCTTCCAGACTTTTTTTCTCCGGGGTTGCACTTGAAATTTTCGGGGGGGGGGGGGGGGGGGCGGTAAACTTTCTTCGAGGGTGCGGACACTGTTAAAAGTATATATTTTCTATATAAATTACATAAATTTCATTCCGTTCGGGGGGGGGGGGCGGTAAAAAAATTTCCAAGAGGTGCCTGGAAGAAACTCTGCCCCCCCCCCCCCCCCCCCCCCCACCGTAGAAAAGAGTCTGGAAGAAACACTGGTGTTTTATAATTGTGTCAAATTAGGCGGTCAAAATACACACACACATGCACAAAAAATGTAGGTAAAAGTGTCATTCGACAAAATTAAAGAAGGGATATAGTTTCCCCGCCTGCAGCAGTTCAAAGTTTAAAAGTCCCAAAAGCTAATCGATTTTAATTCTGAAACGCATGAATTGATTCTTGTGCACATGTGACTATCTTAATACTGGCGTGGGTAAATTTCTTTGTCGGCTACACACTGGTGTGTCTGTTGAGGCAGACTATGAATATGCATGTAAGTCAAAGGCGATAAGTGTAGTTTATTTATTGGGCGTCAGTAAAGTCAGATCTATATATAAGAACAAGCAGAAGTAATGGTGGCTAAGGCTGTGTTTAATGTTCCTGTTTTGTCCCTTTTTATATTGTTGAGAAGAAATGTTGCGCTTAAACTGTTTTGAAAAGATTTCTTGAGCGACCAAACCCACAGCAAATTATGTTTTTTAATTGTTTCATAGTTTTTATAAAAAAATATTTTTTTTAGGGTTTTCAACTATATTTAATTTGTATATCTTCCTATTTTCATAAATCAACCATATTAATTCAATAGGAGTTGTTTCCCTTGGTTATTTTTCTCGCGTTATTTTTATGGCTGTGCTGTTCAACCCACGTGTGGCCATGTTGAATCTCTGATGTGTACGTAGAGCACCATTTACATACATAAGTGCTGATGAAGTAGAGCTCATCTATTGCTTTTTATCTCTCCAAATCTTTGATCAGCTTAATGCCCAGCGACTTATACATTCCACGACTCGAGAGATCCGAGTCAGGTACTCAACATAGCTGAGTAGACTCAGGGATGGTGTACGAACTCGAATCCACGAGTTAGGAACACAAGGAGCCGATACAACTCACTCACGGATTTCACTTCGTTTTCTGCCACTTCATTCAACCAGATGGTCCCTTTACGGTTTGTTAAACACAGCCTAACTAGGGTTTGAACTCATTTCTTTCTGATTAGGGCACTCAATTTTACATGCCATTATTTCAAAATCCGATACTGAATTACACGGTCAAATAATTTTTCATGTTTTTTTTCCAGATGTTGGCAGACTTTAGCCATGAAGATATAAGCCATGAAGTAATAAGCCATTGAAGGATATAAGCCATTAAGTTATACACCATGAAGGATATTAGCCATGACAGATGTAGGCACTGATGCATGACGGAATGTTGTCCACAGGTGACCTCCCCATCAAGCGGAAAGTGTCCCGCCCACTTTCGATTATAAGAGAAAGTTCCGGGGATGACCTACTTATCGGAAATGACGCGCCCATCTCCTGGGAAACCGATACTTCCGTCTCCTCAGGACTTGACCACCAACGTCAGGAACGGTCTGAAAACAGTACAAGCCGTGTGGGTGTGACAATAAACTGCCCAGTGGTGGACACGGTCAGTGGTCACGTGGTTCAGAGGGACGCAGAAGATGGAGATCCGGTCAACACTGATCAGTGTGATCTATTTATATCTGAAGACAACCAATCACTAGCCTACACGAAATCTCCGAAACTAGTCAGAAAACATAAGCTCCACCGTAGCAAAACTGACAGCCAAAACCACAGGCAGACGAGGGTTAGTAGAAGGAAGGCGGTGGCTCCGTTGTTACATCCTGTCTATGCTTTAAACAACGATTTGGGCACCAGATTCAGCTGTGATAAAAATGACGATACAAATGACGATAAGCGTGGGTTAGGCACCGTTGAAAGCGTTGAAAATATCAAGGAATCTTTTTCTTCGCCTGTCCAAACCTCTGAAAAATCAGAGTGTTGCTGTGAAATGTGTCTGTGTTCGAACTGTATGCTCAACCAACGCTGTCCGTGTCTGCAGAACTATATGGCAAGTTTTAAAAAATCAAGGCCAGATTTTTGTGAAAAGGCAGCCAAAAATAGTTTTGAAATTGACGATTTTCTTTCCAAAAAAGAGTTAACTTCGTCGCCGGATAAATTTAGCGCATGTTTAATCTGTAGAAGTAAAAAGCCCAAAGCTGTTGACGTCATAAGGGATGAATTTATAAATTTTGAAAAAGATAACTTTATGTTCGTACGGACTAATTCAGATAGCAGATACATAGTCAGGAAACAGCGAAACAAAGATGGGGAGAAAAATGCGAAAGGTGTTTTGGATCAGGAACAACTTGCTTGGCGAGAAAAAGTGAAGGAAAGTTTTTCTTTCCCCTCGCTCCCGGATAAATTTCGTCCGTTGAGAAGAAGTGTGGGAAGTTTTGGTTCTGGAACTTTCTTGAATAGTTTAGCGTTAGACGTGGGTGGCGTTAGGACGGAGCAGGAGACTGGTGTCAAATTTTATTTACCTGGTCAGAAAAATTCTCCCGATTATTTAATCAACCCCAACACCCTAGTGACGCACCATCCGGGTAAAATCAAATCAACGGTCACGAAGATTTCTTCCGTTGTTAGTCAGTTGGCGGGTGGTCGGGAAGTCACACGAAGTGATGATAATAATAACAGCATCGTTGATTTTAAACAACTTTCCACGTGTCCAAAAAGTTATGGTCCACAAAATATTTCTGAGCAGTCACGTGATGCGGGCTCTAAAATCAAAAGTGAATGCGATCACGTGACTTCTGTGTTGACGGAAGTGAAACACGAGAGCGGTGCTACAAGGGACGTAACTCCAGATTCGAGTGATGATTACAGTATCCTGAAAGAGACGACAACTCGTCTGAAACTGTCGACCAGACGACCCAGTACTTTAGACTGGAGGGCCCGCTATGTGGAGAACGACGAGCTCAGGAAGAGGTTGAGAGGGGTCAAGGCCGAGAACAAGGTCGTGGAGGACGGGCCGCTGACGCCGGAGAGAAAACGGAACATTAATGACATGTTGGCCACGTTAAGGATGGACCTGGTAAGTGAAGTTCGTCATTAGAAGGTCCTAATTAATTAATCAGAAGAGTTTTTTCCAGGTATCTCCCCCCCCCCCCCCGAAGAAAGACTACCGCCCCCCCCCCCCTGAACGAAAATGGACTTTATATAGAAAACGTATACTTTTAACAGTGTCCCCCGTCCCCCCGAAAATATCAAGTGTCCCCCCGGACAGATTAGCTGTTTGATCTCTTATGGAACTGGTAAGTTAATAAGGTCGTCGTCAGCAGGTTCTTGTAGGCTGTTTCACCTCTGACCTTAGCATCGGATTAGTGTTGAATTTCTGTCCAATCCTTTGCTATGCCCGTGAGAGTAGGGAGTCGGGTTGATTTTTGTGATGGCGTGTGAAGTGGTGGAGGGGAGGGAGAGGGTTCAAGACATATGACTCATTTCGTATGTCATAAAGATATAATCTATACAACTAATTCTAATTTTCTTTAGAATTGTTTATTTCAGGTGCGGGGTGGGCAGATGTAACATGTGTACAGAACCAGATAGATCCCTGAGGTTGACTTATGAACCCTGTGTGACATTTCAAGTCGACCTATGGGGGGGCTGGGGGACGACCGAGAGAACGTATAATTGCTAAGTCCAAAAGTTCTGAGTTCGGACCCCTGGCAGAACAGTCCACTTAATTAAGGACAGCAACCCATCTAGGAGAGAAAATTTCAGAATCAAACAACTGCTGCCTTGTAGTTTGTTCTTGGTTGAACAAGGGCTATGGAAGCAAATCCAAAAAGAAAAGCTGAAATCGGAGTCTATATGGCACTTAAGATGCTGTACTGTAGGCTAATTGTGTTGGGTGAAATCCCATTCAGTAGTACAATTAAAAAGGAAGAAGAAGAAAAACGTTTGACATCTGACCCCTTTTAGTTGACCTCCGACAACATGACCCCTTAACTCTAAATTTGACATCTGACCCCCTGGTGTTTGACCTCTGCCCCCGTGTCTGACCTCCACCCACATGACCCATGAACCCTAAATTCGATATCTGACCCTATAGTGTTTGACCCTGACCCCCACGTGTCTGACCTCTGTCCACATAACCTCTGACCCCCCCTAAAGTTTGACCTCTGACCCACGTGTCTGACCTCTGTCCACAGACCGAGCTACACTCCCAGGACCAGGACCTGGCCCGGCAGTTTTTGAACATCCGCCAGAAGATGAACAAGCTGAAGCTGGCGGTCCACTGTCAAGGTCACATGACGCTGCTGGACAACGCGGAGGAGGAGATGGCGGAGGTCCGCGAGCTCTCGCGTCTGGTGGACCTCCCAGTGGAGCTGCTGACGTCAGTGTCTTACCTGCAACATCTGGGGGTGACTCGTATGAACATAACGTCTAGGAGATTCTCTACTTGTTAAGTTTCTCACCTGGGGGTGACTCGCATGAACATAACATCCAGGAGATTCTCTACTTGTTAAGTTTCTCACCTGGGGGTGACCCGCATGAACATAACGTCTAGGAGATTCTCTACTTGTTAAGTTTCTCACCTGGGGGTGACTCGCATGAACATAACATCCAGGAGATTCTCTACTTGTTAAGTTTCTCACCTGGGGGTGACCCGCATGAACATAACGCCGAAGTAAAAGTTATATTACTATTGATTAGATAATATCATAATACTATTGACTTTTATTAGGGAGCTTGTAGAGAGTCAACAGTATTAGAAACTGTAAGAAAATCACGGCGCCCCACGTTTTTCATCGCTTATAGTAGAGTGATCGCTTGCATTATTGTGATGTATAGCATTTATTTTCTACTTTTTAGTTCAATCAGAAAACGTGGGTTTTTTAAAACTTTTTTAATGATTATTATTTTCTACTTTTTAGTCTTTGTATGTTTGTTTGCATTCAAATCTTGCTATCGATTTTATCTTTTCACTTTGTTTTTGGGTAAACGAAGAAAACTCGTAAAAAGACAACTCGTAAAAAACACGTTGTGCGAATACGTTACTGACTAGAACACATAGATTTGAACCCGTGTCGAGTGGGTTAGCAATCGTGTGCCCAACCACTCGACCATATCTTCTCCCCCATACTGGCCACCAGTTGTTACGTTCTGGTTGTTTGTAGACAAACAACGCGTGACAACTACTCAGTAGGCAAAAAGAGGGAGAGTATCGAACCTTCTTTTCATCAAATTACAGTTACTGGGTTATGTCCCTTTTCCCCCCACGTTTTTATATTATTATTATATAGGGGTATAAAATGATCAATAAAATGTTTCCATGGATCAATTTAGTAATAATAACAGTTGAATATTCTATTGTCATCCGAAACAAAGCTTCCCTGAAAATTTCAGCGCGCTAGCTAACTGGGAAGTGCACGAAATTTCGATCGCAAGATTTGATTGGAAAAACAAACAAACAAACAAACAAACAGAGGCGAAAGCAAGTTAAAGAAAACGTGGGAAAAACAAATGAACTCTACTTCACTTGCCCCATGGACCGTTCAAGAAGGGAACTTAACTACTACTCATATGAACACAGCACCCAATTAGGCTCCATGACGTCATTTAGTTTAATTGTTCTCCAAATACGATGGCACAACGCTAAAAGATGTTTTTAACAAAGTCAACCAGTAAAATCAGGCAGATGTTGCTTGACACTGATGTAAAAAAAACTCTCAAGAGACAAAGTCAAGTTTAAAAAATGTTTTTAGAGATGTAATTACATACACAAAAAGGATCCCCATCCCCTTATAAAGTAGAGGGGGGGGAGTCTACGTCATGTTTGGGCGACACCGTGGCCGAAAATTCCCTAAACAATACAAGAAATTCTCAGTGTTTTTCTGAAACCCAAATTTCAACAACTTTTTATTACTTTTTATATTTGTCAAAAGAATCCACCAAGCCCAGTTCTAACCACGCTAAAATCATAGGTTTAAATTAAGGCCCTTATAGATTTGAGACCGCCTCAACACGACTGCCTTCTCGTGATTACTTAACCACATCGTAGAACTCGTCATCAGCGCCACCTTGAGCAGGGGAGGAGGGGTGGTTTGGGTTAAGGAGATATCAGGATATTAAACTGTCAAAGGGAGGTAACCAATGCACGGTTAAATATCGCGTGAAGAGAAACAGGTTTTGTTTTCTTTGGTGGGAAACATGATAGTTCTTCCGATAAGTTACCCTGTGTGAGATTAGGAAAAAACAAACATCTAATTGATTGGCATGGGACGGAGTGATCTAGCGGTAGAGAGCTGGACTGCTAACCCGTAAGTTTGAGTTCGAATCCGGGTTCAAGTCAGTAGACCGTCCCTGAGTCCACCCAACTGTGATGGGTACCTAACTCCTGTTAGGGAAAGTAAAGGCGGCTGGGCATAGTGCTGACCACACTATCTCTTCATATGCCGAGGTCACAGAAACAAATGAACTCTACTTCACTTGCCCCATAGACCGTAAGGTTTGAAAGGGAACTTTACTAACTTAATGGATAAGCAGCTTTGTTTATCCAATCTCATCTACGACTTTTCCTTCTTTATGTAAAAGGCGAGTTTACTTGTAAGAGATCAGTTCATATTTTATAGTAGTTAAAAGCCGTTTATTTACATTACGATCTGTAAAGATAGAGGTAAACGTCAAGTTTACATCAATCATTGTAAACGTGTAGACGTCACATTTAATGTAAGATGTTTGTCATTTTCAGAATGTAGTATGTTAGGTGTAAGATATACATGTCGTATTTAAGCTTTAGGTGTATGTTCACTGTAGCTATCATATATATGTTGTATAACATGTAAAATGTGTATCAGGTGTAAGCTGTAAGTTAGTGTAAGAGATGCCTGTATTGAAAAAATCAAGTGTAAGTGTAACCTTGGATGTAAGCAGCTGATGGTACAAATAATGTGAACCTACACACAATAATTTTTTTTGTATGTCTGAAAACACTCTATCAGACAATGAATGAAAGAATCCATAAACACAATGTATTAAAGTAATATGAAATTGTCTTTATTGCAACTGTAAACAAAATAAAAACATACCAAATGTTCCTTTACAATGGGTTGATGATATAGAGAGCAAACATTACCACACTATGTCGAGAGGGGGGTGGTTCACTTTCTACAGCACACAATCAACTGTCTATAAGGTTGGATGATGGTGGTGGTGGTGGTGGGGGAATGTAGAGGGATGTTTCACTTTCTACAGCACACAACTGTCTATAAGGTTGGATGATGGTGGTGGTGGTGGGGGAATGTAGAGGGATGTTTCACTTTCTACAGCACACAACTGTCTATAAGGTTGGATGATGGTGGTGGTGGTGGGGGAATGTAGAGGGATGTTTCACTTTCTACAGCACACAATCAACTGTCTATAAGGTTGGATGATGGTGGTGGTGGGGGAATGTAGAGGGATGTTTCACTTTCTACAGCACACAATCAACTGTCTATAAGGTTGGATGATGGTGGTGGGTGGTGGGGGAATGTAGAGGGATGTTTCACTTTCTACAGCACACAACTGTCTGGAAGGTTGGATGGTGAGGGGGGAAGTGCAAACTTTTATGAATTTGCAACATTTGGGAGGGGGCTTAAAATGTGACAGCGTATATATATATATATATATATATATATATATATATATATATATATATATATATATATATATATATATATATATAAAATTAAAGTTTGATTTTTGTTAGAAACAGTTTAGTGTGGGAGGGGTGTATTGTGTTATGTGACAAGTTTGATGAAGGAAGTTAAGGGGGAGGGGGGGGGGGTTGTAAAAACATCTAACATCAGGTGACTTTTGTACAACTCCACTTCAACTTTTTCTTTTGACATGTATCCTTTAAATAAAAAATGTGCAGTGACACTCCTCTAAACAATATACCAACACATGTAAACAAAAACAAACAATATAGTAATTGAGCAACTGGCTTTTTTCTACTTTCAAACTATAATCAAAAAGTGAGACATGTTAGAAACATTTTTACAGGAGGTATTATATCATACTTTATGTACACAAATCATAGAGAAACTTGAATACACACATTGTAATTGTACAGCTGTTAAAACTGTGATCTGCTGGAGTTGTCCATACACTTGTATTGTCTGGCTTCTCCCCAGCAAATAAAAACAACAAAACTCAAATAAGATAACATGGAGAACAATACAAATATGACTGAGCCATTTGAATATCAATGTGTAAAATGGCAGTGTACATATACAATTTGTGTGTACATCTTCTGAGAAAAACATAAGTTATGTCTGTTATGTCCACACATTTGTTTGACAGCAGTACAAAATAAAAACTAGATGGTACACAAATACACTTATTATACAAATTGGTCTTTTTACAATTTTGTATGTATATCAACCAAAGGTGATATTCTTTGTCAGCAAAAAAAAAATAATTTGAATGTACATTCTAGTTTTAACTAACTGCCAGAACTTGCACAAATAATAAATATTTATTTTTATATAGATATTTATAATTAGTTATCTGACAAGTTATCAACTGTTATACACAATCTTTACCGGGGGTAGGCAACTTTCTTTTAGTAAAGAACCCTTTTCCTAATTAAATTTACTAAATGTTTTTGTGTTCTACCTTTACACTCAATGAGATAAAGCTACATTTATTCATTCAAACACAATTTCTTAAATAGACTTTGTGACTTTCATTCTTAAACTTTTCTTATTTCCCTCAAGGCCTCCCTCTTTATAACAAAACATGAACAATATTATTAAAACAAACCCTTATTGTGCATATAACTAAAACCATACTGCACTGGTAGGTTAAAATGACTGAGCAAAACCTCTGGTCCACACCCTGATATTGTATCACAACTGGCAAGTTGTAAGAAAATGTTTTGTAAGTAAACAGGTCCATGTACTTAAAATGTACTTATACAACTTTTCCTTAAGACATCACTGTGGCTCTTCAGTTTTCTATATGAGTTTGCATGTGGACATCCCTCATGTGTGGCAATGTTCAACAGCAAGGAAATATTTTTCACTCCTGGTTTAGTACCCAGAGAAGTTGATTTATAAAAAATCATTTACAGGCAAAGAGCTGAAGTTTAAAACAGACATTGAAATGCCTGTCTATTGGAGCTTAAGTTTAGAACTCACAAATGCCTGTCTAATGGAGCTTAAGATAAAACTGACAAATGCCTGTTCAATGGGGCTTAAGATAAAACTGACAAATGCCTGTCTAATGGAGCTTAAGATAAAACTGACAAGCGCCTGTCTCAAGGAGCTTACGTTAAAACTGACACAGCAATGCTTAGGTTTAGAACTGATACTGAAATGCCATTCTGCATCTAGAGACTGAGTCAGGGTTTTCCTGGAGGTGGTGGAGTTGAGGTGGAGCAGGATTGGAATGGTGAACAACAGAGGGAACGGTCTCAATGACCTCAACACCGTACATCTGGGAGACCAGCCCTCTCTCTTGGTCCCCACCGCAGCCAACATAAACCTCCTTGATGCTGTCCTTGTGTCTCTCTAGGAAAGATGTGTACCTAAGGAGTTAAACAAACATAAGCTACTGATGATGTCCACAAATATTTATTATTTGAGTAACACAAATGATAGTTATAATGTTAATATCAGTTTTTAAAGTGTGTTTAATTTTTATGAACAATTAAGTTGATTAAGGCTTAAAAGGTTTTTGACTAATCTGTAGATGGAATAAAAAATTTCCAGCAATCACATATATCCTACTTATATAACATAAATAGTGACCTAGGGTAGTTTTTTAATATTATTTACTGTCTGAAGTATTAACTTAACAACATCACTGGTTAGCATTTACATTGTTATAAAACAGAATTTTTATTTAGTTTTTATATAGGAAAGACCGGCAAACTATTGCCTAACTTTGTTTGAATCTAGATCTACAAAGTTTTTATGAATCAAGAATAAAACTGAAGAAAAAAAAAAGGAAATCAGGATTTGATAAGGACAGTTAAAAATGTATGTACCATTCCTCATTGGGTAGGTTGTTTTCAAATTTAGTTTTTCTCTCAGTTTTATTGAGCAGGTCTTGAACTTTGTACAACAAGTCCTGACGTGTGCGCCCAAAACCAGCTCTGTGCATGTTGACAATAAAGTCTACCAGCTGGAGTAGAGAGTACTTGAAATCATTTGTCACATTTCAAAATATTTCTAATATAGCTTTTAAAGTGTGAGGATTAAATAATTTGTCACATTTTAAGTATAAAATTTTTAAAGCAAGTGGATTTCAAAAAAATATTTAATAAGGCTTTGAAAAGATATAGATGTTACCTCTTTTTCCTCTTTTTTTGAAAGAATTGTTTTTCCTTTGAAACCTGCTGGAGGTTTTGAAAACTTGTGCCTGTACTGATAGTAAAGAAGAAAAATGGTGTCATTTGTTTAAGACATCAATTTTCCGAATAGCGGATCTAAATATTAATTATCATAAATTTACCAAAAACAATTTTTTTTCTCTAAATTTTTTGTGAAAATAACTTTTAAAAAATGGGCTAGATTTCATAAGTCATTTATAATCAATTAATTTTTAAATTCTAAACTCAAAATGTTAAAATGAAAAAATGATGTTTTTAAAAGGTTGTTATCTGTCAATACTATCATTCTGTGAATGTATAACAACTCTTGTTGATTGTAGAAATTATGCTTAAGCCATCACAATTATTTATTTAAAATAAAAACAAATACAAATTAGGCTATAACTGCTTACTGATTCATGCTTTGGTAGATGACTTCTTAATGTGCTTCTGGGAATATTATAGGCTTTGGCAGCTTCTCTTTGCGACATTTTCCCACTGATAACAGCATCAACAGCTGTGATCATCATTCTCAAGTGCTCTGTGTTATTTCTTGGGGGCAGTGAAACAGTCAGTGTACTCACAGTATCCATTTTTTAAAAATGGGTTTCAGAAGATACTGAAGAAAATATAGAAGTAAGAGATAACATACATTTTACTTAGGTTGGTTGAGGCCAGGCCAGGGATGTTCTGAACGGGGTTCAAAGGGACAACTCGAAATAATCGTCCAATTATCTAGATTCTAGATCAGAGATTTAGATTAGATCTAGCTAGATCTAGTCTAGTAGACTAGTTCTCTGGAGGGAGAGTGGAAACTAGCTAGTAGCTACTACAGCTGCTGTAGAGTAGGTACTGTTAGTGTTACTGTAGGTCTCAGTGCACTCACAATTTGACTGTAGACTGTAGAATACTGTTACTGTAGGCTGTAGATCTAGTCTAGATCTAGAAAATCTAGAATGTTGGGAGGGACTAAGTCAAGACTACTAGATCTACTACTAGATTACTAGATCTAGATCTACTGCTAGATCTAGTAGATGTACTAGAATCTAGATCTAACTAGACTACTATTGTTACTTATTAGGGCCAACTACTTATTGTACGAAGACAAGAGAGAGGAATGAAGATTGGGATTCCATCTGATCACAACACAGAAACTTGAGAAACACTTCAAACACTTCTGTCAAACTTCAAACTCACTCACTTTTGTTTTATTTTTAATATAACCTCGAAGATATAGATCTAGATTCTCTAGATCTATTTCATTATTGTTGGAACCGATTTTCTATTGATTATTTTTAAGTTTGATAAACTTCTTGACTCTCCAAAAAAAAATTTAACTGGATCTAGATCTAGATCTAGAAAAACAAAACAAATTGTTCCCTATCGAAAACTGGTTACGTACGATTGGCAGCAGACTAAATTTTTTTTTTTTTAAATGCGATTGTTTTCGGCTGATTTTTGTAAAAAGTTAGGTCTAAACAAAACTAATCGAATCATGGAGAATCTAGATCTAGAATTCTAGATCTAGATTCTAAATCTATATCTTAATTCTAGATAGCCCAACATAAGGAAAATGCAAAAATTCAGTTTAAGAATGATAAAATCTAGATTCTAGATCTAGTCTAGATCTAAATCTAGTGTAGGATATTTTATTTTCTGTTTAAGTTAAGGGGACCCACGGGTCACGAATATGATAGTTAATTCATAAAAAAATAAAAAAATCGATTATTGCATATTCTGATAGATTATTACCTTATAAATCATTTGGTTATGTTATTTTTTATATAAAATAATGTTTTGAACATGAAAATATGTCAAGAAGGGGGTAGGGGTATTTGTTTTTTATTAAAAGTTGACCAAAATACGCTAATTTGTTGAGTTAATGGTTTCGTTTTACACAATACTATAGTATCGTGTTTGGTATCGCCGGATTGCTCTTTATTTGCTCTATAGAGTCCTTTCATATGACGTCACGTCCGTTCGTGATACCTACGCCCGCCGCCACAGTGGTGTACACCAGACGTAAACACAATCAGCTGTTCGCCAGCGCTGGACGTATTCACCAGCGCTGGACGCGTTCACCGTATGTAAAGAACCGCACCCGCGGAAAGGGGAAAATACGTTAAAAAACTTGAACTCTTAGGAATTGAAGATCCTTATACTGTTATTGACAGTTTCGTAGATAATATAAATATGTGGACAAAATTTCTAAATAAAAATACTGTTAGTAATACCGTTTGCGTTTAGAGTTAAAGTAGACGAATCTGATCAAATGCAGTTCTCGATTTTTTGTTTCAGGTAAGGACAGTAAAATAATAAACTTCATTTTAATTATAAAAGAAAACTATTAATAAAACAAATATGCTCGACCTTCACAAATACTAATAGTAAAAGACAAAGTCAAAAGTAATAATAAGAATAATAAGATCTAATAGTAGGCCTAATACCTGGCTCCGCTGGGTAGACATAGAATCTAGCATCTACTTCTTTACTTAAATTTAATTACTTTAGATCTACATTCGATTCAAAATACACCCATAATAAATCAAAAGTAGTCATAATAGGCCTAATAAAGCATTTAATTGTCTCTAAGATCTAAAATCTCGCTCTATTATCTAATTATTTTTTTAGCAAACGAAATTTTCTGAAATTGAAATAGATTGTATGACTAGACTTAGATCTAGAATCTGCTACTTAAATTGTAAAAACTTTATACAAGCATGTAGTTGATATTATTGTAGTAGAAGGCTTTAATAAATTACTAAGGCCTACCTACTCTGTTGTCTTTTTACAGCAATATGTATCTGATACTGGACTGAGTTTAATTAAATTCAAATTCATATCTAGTAATTGGTCTACTAAGTTTTTGTAGCCTAGTAGTACAATCTAGATCATACCAGCCAACAACAAATAACCACATAATTATTATTTGGTTAATGATTAGGCTAATTTTTTTTTAAATCCACTGTTTATAAAAGAAACAAATCAAGCTAGAAACATTATAAGTGAGATGGTTTAGAATAATAACAATGGTCCCAGTCTACAATAGATATAATTGCAGGTCTACATAGGGCCTACAGTCTAGTAGTTTACAGTAGGCACCTAGTGTGTAGCTAGTATACTAGTGTGTAGCTGTCCAGAGTTAAGATTCTTAATGCTTTCCCCTGATAAGCCATGTGTGCTATAAATGACATAACATGACACCGAGGTGAGAAGTGTTGAGGGGAGAGCAGTGGGACTTTCCCCTTTGTTCTCCCTGCTGGGCCCTGAGGGTCAAAATTATATAAGAAATACTATCTCTGTGGGGCTGGGTATCACGGAGGTGAGACATTTTCAGGGGAGGGCAGGGTAGACTCCTCTTTGGTTTTATTGTGGGCTAGATACAGGTGGGGGCAGCCATCATGAGGGTTGAACGTCAGTATTAATGTGTCTGATTACTTCCCTGCTGGATTATAAGGGTCTTAAATTGTATAACATGCTACCCAGATTGGTTATTACCCATGGATTATATTAGCCGTTGTAGTGTGGGTTTTGTAGGAGTTAAGTGGTCTCACGTTTGCTACAGTAGATAACCTATAATATATTACTGCATTTGATCAGCTTCGTCTACTTAAACTCTAAACGCAAACGGTATTACTAACAGTATTTTTATTTAGAAATTTCGGCCACATATTTATATTATCCACGAAACTGTCAATAACTGTATAAGGATCTTCAATTCCTAAGAGTTTTTTTAACATATTTTTCCTTTTCCGCGGGCGCGATTCTTTACATACGGTGAACACGTCCAGCGCTGGTGAACACGTCCAGCGCTGGCGAACAGCTGATTGTGTTTACGTCTGGTGTACACCACTGTGGCGGCGGGCGTAGGTATCACGTGATTTAGGTCACGTGTTTGCAAGGACTCTATAAGGATTTTCCGGTGTCACTCAGTTCTAAAAATAAGCATTGACCTAAAAAAGGCCTTCTATCACGCATCCCAAGCATGCACAACTATGTACTACTTCTCTCTGATTGGACAAACTGTTGTTAGAAGCTAAACCACGTCTTTTTATTGGCCGGCGTCGGCCATACTGCTGAGCGTCTATGTTACCTCGACCCAGAAAACACTGCGCGTACGTCCACAGTGATAGCGTCTCTCTGAGTGTTTACGTTTTTCACAGATCATTTTTAACATTAATACAGATTTATTCGACATCAAAGGTAAGCCAGTTATATTTTGTATACATATGCACTATCTGTTATATTGTTTTGTGAGTTTTCAATTAGACTCTAGTCTATTTCTTTATTATTATTACTTCAATACAGTCCGTTTCTAGATCTAGACTAAATTCTACTTTCTAGGTCAGGTCAATCTAATTTAGATTCTAGATCTAGATCTAGATCTAGAATCTAGAAATTAGATCTAGAAGATAGATTCTAGATTTAGATCTAGTAAATCTTGATTCTGGATCTAGAATCTCGATATCTAGATCTAGTCTAGATCTAGATTTATTGTGGACTCTAGCTAGTGATTAGTTTTTAGATCTAAGCCCGAAGCTAAAGTCTGCTAAAGTGAAAGTAAACAACACGAAAGTCTGTATTATTACTAATCTAGATTCTAGATCTACTTACTTAGTATAGATCTAGATCTAGTACTTTTGTTGTGGGATAGCCCATGTCTATCTGCATTTCTCGTGATATGAATGATAACTGATGAGTTTTAATTACTAGATCTAGGTATTACTAGACATAAGAGTGTAGATTTGTTTCAATTTTATACTAATCATATGTATATATGTGCAAACAAAATTTATTTTTGAGATTATTATTCAGTCATCCATAATTGTATTGCTGGGTATTATTTAAAGTTAGCTGTTTGTAAGTCTTGTTCAGTTAGTAATTATCTGTCTTATTTCTTACTATTTCAGTGTCATGGCTCCATCTAAAGTTTCATCTAAAAACAGAGCGGCTAGGTCAAAGCTGAGGAGAAAGCGTCAGTCAGCCAAAGCGACAGAGGCCAGACAGAGAAGAAGAGAAGAATCCATGACTACGACCGTTGCTCAAAGTCCAAGTCACAGTGATTCCCCTCTTCTTACACAGGAAAGTACTGTCTTGCCTTCTGTCTCCCCTTCTATCTCAGCTTCTAAACGCAAACTTTCTTTTTTTGATGAAAGTGAGCAGTCTCTAAATTCTGATTTGCCATCCACATATGTCTGCCTGGAGACATTACAATCATTATTTACCAACCTGCAGTGCGCTATTTGCCAGACACAGTGTCTGCAGCTGCAGCAGGACACATCAAAAAACTGTGGCCTTGCAGTTTATCTGCAAGTATATTGCAGAACTTGTGAGGAGATTAGGTCAGAGACCATTACATCTCCTAAGAGTGAAAAAGTGCACTCTGTAAACAGACAGGCAGTTGCTGCCTCTCTGGCGACTGGAATGGGGTATGGTGGGCTTATGAAGTTTTCAGAGCTGATGAACACTCCGGTTCTCCATCCAAAAACTTACAATCAGCACACACGAGTAATACATAAAATGGCACTGAGTTACTCTGACAAACTGATGTCAGACAGTGCAAACATTATTCGTGCTGCATACCCCGAACAGTCTGGCAAAGATTACTTTGATATTGATGTTTCGTATGATGGAACATGGCAGACTAGAGGCCACAAGTCAAAGTATGGTGTGGGCTGTGTGATAGAAAACAGAACTGGCCTTGTTGTTGATTATGAGGTAGTCAGCAAATACTGCCACACCTGCAGCACAACAGGTGCTAGACTCAGGGCAGAGAACCAAGCAAAATTTGATGCTTGGCATTTATCACACAAGCCCTCATGTGATATTAATCATTATGGCTCCAGTGGGAGCATGGAGCAACATGCCGCTGTGAAGATGTGGGCTCGGTCAGTGGAGAAGCATCAATTCAGATATCGCAGTGTTGTATCTGATGGTGATACTAACACTATAAAAGCGCTCCATGACTTGAGCCCATATAAGGACCTCACAGTAGAGAAAAGGGAGTGTCTCAATCATGTGGCCAAGCGACTAGGAACTGCTCTGAGGAATGTTGTGGAGACTAAAAGGAAGCAAAAGATAACACTTGGTGGTAATGGCAAGGGTAAGCTAACCCAGAGCAAGATTGCCAAGCTGCAAAAGTATTACACCAAGGCGTTGCGTTCCTGCTCCTCTATTCCTGAGATGCGAAAAGCTATTTGGGCCACACTCCTGCACTGCACTTCTACTGATGAGGAGCCTAAGCACCAGGACTGTCCTCAGGGAGTATCTTCCTGGTGCTTTTTTCAGCGTGCTGTTGCCAAGGGTCTTCCCACTGACAAGCATGACCTGATGCTTTCTTCGTACATTTGTCCTATGGTCGAGGAAAATATAAGACCTGTTTACGAGAAAATGTCGCAAGAGGACCTCTTAAGCAGATGCTTGGATGGAAAAACACAAAATACCAATGAATCCATCCATTCAGTCATATGGAGTCGTTGCCCAAAGCATCTGTTTGTTGGTAGGCAGAGGCTAGAAATAGCGGTGTGCCTAGGGGTGGGGGAATTCAATATGGGGTCAAAGGCCTCCCACAACTTTTTAAAACATAAACCTGCACGTTGGCAACAAAACCAAAGAAATAGGAGCTAAGAGGGACATTGTTAGGGTGGGCAAGGCTCAGAGGTCCCTTTATAATAATGAAAGTGCTAGGAGAAAAATTAGGCGCGTCGCAGAGGAGCGGGAGCATAAAAGAATAGAGTTTGAGGAGGGGGGGCCACAGTACATACCAGGAGGGGCTGACATTTAATTTTTTAATATACTGTTTTGTTACTTTCTTTTTTTCTAAATGGCATTTGTTTTTACTATTAGAATTAACTTTTATCTCATTACTGTGGCAAAAATAAGTTTCGGTTAAGTTTCGGCTGATTTTTAATAGGGGGTAGGGCTTACATAAATATTTGTGAAAAATTTAATATTGTTCCATTTAAATTTTCATGTGACTTCATGAAGTCACTTATGAATAACCTACTTTATAAAAGTGTCATTTTTAGTTTTGTTATCATTTTGTTCTTTTACCATTGTAATCAATCTTATTTTGCTGTTTTTCTCAAAATAAATTTTTATTAAGCATACCTGTTGTTATGTTTCATTTTTTTCAAAACTCGTTTGTTGGATTGTTTTGAACTTTTGTATGTGTGTTTACAAATGGTGTATATACAGAATGAAGTAGCATTTATTGGTTAATAATACCACTGGACTGAGTTATGAGTTGTATAAGTGGACAACATAACAAAAAGTGTGTCATATCGAATGCGGCCTACAGTACCATCACATGGACAGGTACAGAGAAAAAACTATGCCTTATTCATCCAAACTCTATACGTCAGTGCATAAAATACATGTATGGGCACCAAAATGCAGAAGATGAGATGTGAAACCACTGTAGTTATTTAACAATTTGTGACAAGAGGTTGCTCATATTTTAGAACCTAGACCCCTAAACACATCCGGATTATGAGAAATAGGTGAACTAATTTGAAAAAAATTAATAAATATAGCTTGTCTTAGCCTATCTTGATAAATTTAAAGTAGTTCAATAGTAAAACAACTGATTTTAGGCAAAGTAGATTCAAAAGCAGTTGACCCCCTTAAGCCGAATCTGATGTTTATTTAGCTGCCGATTTTTAAAAGGTTACAGCAGGCGGTTATAATTTTGAAAATAAATTCGATACCGATAATTGTATTAAATTGAAATATCCTTTCCTTTATTAAAGAAAATCAACTACATTATGTGCTTGTAATCTTATTATTTTCAACAAAGATTTTTACTTTATAATGTTAATTCTTTAATAAATGTAATAGTTACATTAAATGCGTTTTATACTAAATCACACGTTAGACAAATTTTCCCGGACAATACCACAGAATAATCGAAGGCTAACTAAATGAAACCAGATAGCATTTTGACTGGATTAAGACAAATCTAGCCCATTTAGATGATAGTTATTTTAGATTTAAAAACAAATCTGAAGTTTATCCACATCTTTCTTCATACAGATAAATTGACATTTCCTAGTATAGGCTAAAAGTCTTGAAATCAGGCTTAAGATCTATCTCAACTAGATCTATGTGTTTCTTTAGAAAAAGCATATAATATGGAATTAACAGTAACAGCATTTTGAATCATTCCAAAGACTCTAACAAGAACCAAGAAATAAAAAAAAATAACAGCTAATTAGTGATACCTGCTTTTTTTTATTGTTGATCAGAATTCTTTCAAAATCAGATTAATACAAGTGTTAAATGCAAACATACACACTAACAAAACAAAAAAAAAAAACTTTTTTTGTAACAACTGGAACTCAATTATACAATTACACATACAGTAGATTATTATTTTGCATACTACTATTGACAGTCACACTGAAAAGATTTCACTTACCATACAGTTGATACAGCAATATTGTACCACACATAAACTGTTTAAACAAAGTTTGATTTTCAACCTATCAATTAAAAGTCATTGATTGTGCACATGTATGCATTTCCTTTGACCATCAATCCCATAGAACTTTTCTAGGAATACCTCCCTGCCACAAGTCATGTCATAAATGTGCAGCCTAATAAAAATATTTATTTTTAAAATAAACTTTAGACATATTGAAAAAAGCTTGTTACATTGTCACCAGAAACAATTGCAAAAGCCTTATTAACTTATACGAGCCGACCCGCTGCGTATCATACGTCGCTATTTAGTTGTTTTATTTTCTACTTTTCAGTAATTCATAATTTGTGAATTCGACAGTACCAATGCTGCCACTGAAAATATTTGCTTTAAAACACTAACCCCCCTTTTCCCCTAACCCCGACCCTACACCCCCCCCCCCCCTCGTGAAAGCAGCCTCCTCTTAGTTACCTACTGTAAGTTTAAAATCGAACTAAATTATCTGCCCCTAATAGAAACCAGACTCTACGGCTCTACAATTTGTAAACATTTAGCTTTGTAAACATTTAGTGTGACCACAGCTCACCAGAACATTTGGGGTGGGGTGGGGGTGGTAGTGATAGTGATAGAGATAGAGAGAAAGAGAGGGGACTGCAAGGAGGCGCTTGCAGCTTGTTTTCTAACGGCTCCCAGAAGAGAATTATATATATAGATATGAATTTTAAGCCAGTTAGTTCAGCTTTTTAAATAAACCATTCTTTATAGCAGAAATTTAGCATTAAAAAAAACAAGAGTAAGATCCTAAACTATGTCATACCTTAATTACTTCCCACAGAAAATCATTAAACTATCTTTTTAATTTTTAATTAACAGTAAATAGAAAAATCATAGTTCAAAACTGAAATTGAACAGTTTAAAGGTTTTGTGTTAATTATCAAAAGAAGGAATTTATTACACATAGAAGGACAATACAATAATATGAGTATGCAAACATATTGTTATGTACACACCAGATAGAACAAATATTGATTTTTTTATTTGAGCAAGTCATTTAAAAAAAATATTCTAAAAAAATTAATACAATAATAAAAAGAGCCGATTAAGATTCATAAACTACTTGAGTAACTTATCAAATGAACATAATTTACTTTTAACGTTTATATATTTGACATTAATATGGTCTACAACACAAACAAAATTTACTTTTAACGTTTATATTGGACATTAATAATGATTAACACAAACAAGGGAGAAATTCAACCTTTCAATGAGCAGGATTATTCAGATCAGTATTCATTTATGCTCAATTTATATGTCAATACAATAAAGTATTATTTGTTTTACAAGTATGAACAATTTAAAAGAATAATAGACATATTTACAAAGAATAAAATACATTTAAGATTAATTTAAATTCACACAATTTTTCATCATTTATATAAACATTGCTGCAAATTTAGAAAAATATACATGCTGTGTATAAAAGTGATTTATATTATGGAATGTTAATGTATCATCTCCTTAAAATAACAATGTTAACTAAGCGTATATAAAATGCATCACTTAGAATCTTGTTATTTCTATGGTGACTGTATAAAACATGGTAAAACTTGATTTTATCAGTATTTACAAGCATATTTTTCACAAGAACTATTATTTACAAAGAAGACAAAAGGCTTTATAATTCAAAAGCCATGGATTGAATATGATTATATTTTGAGAACACTGAAATGTACTGAAAAATATCTCCCAAAAATTAAGTTTCTAATACATTGATAAGTTTAAAAAGCATCTTTCATATTATTTAAGGTTATTTAAAATAAATGTTTTTTTTTAATAAACAAGTAAATAATTACTAGTACATATTTTGCCAAATTATAAACGAATAAGGAAGGTTCATATATACATTATCTTATCTATGAAATTTAATAACTAAAACAGCACTATCTTTTTTTTGGGGCTAGCATGATGTATACCTAAGGCTTTCCTCTTCTCTTCTGCTGTTAACTTCAGACGATCGGTACTTTGGATAACTGAAGGGAAAATAAATACAAAAATAACTAAATTTTGCACCCACCTATATTTTTTTAAAAGCATGCCTTTTTAGGTAAATATACGAAAAACTAGAAACGGATGGGACCTTTATTGAGTAGCTAAACAATATAAAAATTAGATTACGTTCTTTTTTAATTAGCCTAAACTAAATTTACTACAGCCTAAAGATTTATAGTTAACTAATAATATTTATTTAAAAAACCATCATTGATGTAAATTATAATCAATATTTTATGATAGCCTAAATTATATTTCATAGCAGTTTCACTTATGAATACATAAATAAGCTAATTATTTCATCTGTGCAGTTTTACTCTCAAAATAATTTTTTAATATTAAATAAACTTTACTGGTCATTTTAAAACAATGAATATAATTTCTGTTGGTACACCCACAAAACCTAATCTAGTGTGTAGGGGCAGGGGGAGCAAAGACAGGTGAACTATTTAGATACTTATTAAACTTAATGGGATAAGACTTCCTTCTATGTTGTCTTAAAATCATACATGTATATTAATGTATAATTCCTAAGACTAAAAAAAACAACAACACTTTTGTGTAATGTGATTCAATAAATGTGGGGGTTTTATGGCAGAAAAAATTAAGTGGCTGCCATTTGCTGATGAGTGCAATGTTTTTAAAAAATCAATCAGATTTCAATTAAAATTGCACAAGATATATATACAAATAATGATATGTTAAGGTTTCACACTAACTTCTAAGTGGTTTGTCTGAATCAGCAGCATAAAATGAGACACTGCAAGATTATCAACAATCAAAATATATTCAACAATGCTTAGCTAACAGTATAAACTATTATGCCAATGCTCCAGATAAATAGACTGCCAATAAACATATACAAGCATGAATTATATACCTGACAGTGTATAACAGCCTTTTAGCTATTATTTAATGGGTTAAAACCTCTTTAATTATGTACATTTAAACAAAAACAAATATCACAATGGTTGGATATGAATTGAGGTATTGCTGAGATTGATAACAATGGTTATTATTAGACAGTAGTTTGATAAGCTTTGTTGTTTTTTCCAATGATGCTTATGCTTCGAGAGGAATCATAACTGGATGTATCATACTTTGGGTCATACTTTGGATCATACTTTGGATATCTGCAGGAAAATAAGCATTCCATTAAAAGATATTTTACTTGATCTAGGATTGTGTCAAAACTGATGATATAACCTCACACATTCTATATCACTTGACATGAAGTATAACTTTTTTTTAGATTAGTCAACTAGTGTTGTCTGGAAGACAACAATACAATTTTTTTCAAAGGAATGCGCTTTCACAACCTTCATTAAAATAAATACATACTGAATTCTAGAGATCCAATTAAAAAAAGGTTAATTAAAATGTAACATTTTAAAATTCTTTCTTTTATATGTTTGAGCCAGAATATTATTCATCTTGCGGTCAGATATAATCTTCATAATTTAAAAAACTAAAAACATCAGTTGATCAAACAGACTAGATGCCTGTTAAGGATGACTAATATTCAATTAACTAATACAATATTTAAATATTAGATTTTTAAAATACATTTATGTTGGTTTAATTAGATTTCCCATAAATGTTTTAGTAAGATTAAAACAACCATTATTTATTGCAATAATATATATATCCTATGTCCAGGAAGTTTTTTGACCAGTGTTTTAAACAGGCCTCAAGTAATATTTACAGACCTACACATGCTTTTTTTAAACAATATAAATGATCAGTTATGGTCCATTTTGTTTCAATTTCTTTTAATCACCATAGCAGAGGCTTAATAAAATTTTAACGATCCCAGGTTGAAAATCTGAGGTAGTAAAATAAAACGTTCTCAAATAACTTACTTTTTAGTTCTAGATCTGCAAACCAAGAGAACAATGAGAGCAATGACAATAAAGAGGAGCACTCCGGCGCCTGCAGTCAGAGCCCAAGTTGAGAGTTCAAAGGTCGATGCTCCAGCTGCATCTGTGGTGACACTCTCCTTCATGTAGTCTGTTGACATAAAAACATAGAGCTGCCATCATAGAGGATACAAGCTATGCCAGATAAAACTGTGTTTATAAACAAGGCAGGTTGAGTGGAAAATAGTGATGTGAGCTATTCTTCATTTCTGTTTAGTCAGCCTCTACCTATTAGCTTAGTATTGGCATCTAAAAATATAATATTTTTTACTCAGAAAATATGATCAGTACAGTATCATAATCAAAGTAATAAATTAACCCTCAGTGAGGTTGATATCTGTTAAGAGTTAATAAAGGATGTGTGATTAGAAGATGGGTCGGCCAACAGGTGGTTAAAGTTGAGAACCTATTCACATGGATCACTAGATACTAGATGGAGTTTTTTGTGAAGGGTTTCTAATACAAGGTTAAGCTGCTAGAGAAAATAAATAATTGAAATAGTTTCAGCTCTTTGGTGTTATATATTTGGTTTTTTGTGTTTGAATTAATAGTATGATCAAACAGGCGGTGTGGAAGGTATAATTGATTGTAAAAAAGTTTCTCCTTTTTTATTTCATATCTCTATTTAATGCTTGAAAATATTAAAAAAAAAAACAAGATATATAATTCGTGTTGTAAAGTGCTGTAAATGAAATAAAATATCTTACATGGTGAGTAGCCAGCCAGCTTAGGGAAGAAGTCATTCCAAAAGTGGAAATCTGATTGTCTGTAGTTGATCCTGTTTTCTGACACATTGTTAATGCTGAGGTAGGTGTGGTTCTCCAGGTTGTAATGCCACCAGGTCACGTTTCGGAAAAATTTAATTTGCTCTGTTTTTGGTGTCGGCTCCCTGGAAATAATTGTGACTGTTATTACATGGTTGTCACTAAATAAATATTTATAACAATTTAAAGAAATAAAATAATATAAATATTTACATTTTTAACATTTGAAATAATTAATTACAGAAAAGTTAAATAGTTGACACCTTACCCTGTGCTAGTAAAATTTGTGATCAGACTGATCATAAACTCTGATATATTTCTATCAGAATAGTCATACTCCTGTCTAGGGTATAAGCCCAGTAAATCTCTGTATGTTTCATTAATAAAAGGGAACCCAAATATGTAATCCAAATCTTGACCATGAGCAATACCTAAAGATGAGATTTAACAGATAAAACAATAATTTAACACCCAAAAAGTAAAAAAAAATTTTTATAGAACAGTTAAATGTAGAAAGAACAAAAACTCAATGTACAAATGACATACATTTTAGCAGCTAATTTACGATTGAGGAATATTTCATAGGTTTAGTGGGTAAGAAACAGAATTAATAAAGATGTAAAATAAATTTTCTCAACACAGTGACCTACCTCTCCATTGAGGGACATAATTTCTCAATGAACTGTACTCAAAAACATATTCAAAGACAGTAGAGAACTGTACATGTTGCCTGACAGTTTCACTGAGTGCAGCCCCAAACATGTAGTCTGTCATCATCTGGGAGTTTAAACATCGTAGTTAAATATTTGTAAAATGTTCCATTTTTAAAATACATTTATACTGGTTTAACTAGATGAAGTAATTTGAAAAATGTGCGAACAAAAAACGGCTCAATAAAACCTGCATGAGCCATAGAACTGGTTGGTGACCTACTTACCAGCCCTATTATTGTGCATGAAAGAAACCAAACAAAAACATAAAACTGGATGTACCTCTATGAGTTCTTTCCTAATAAAACTGTAGTTAGTAGGTTGAGGCCAGTATGTGTACTGAAACTGTAAGGCATCAAACAGGGCGTTAGGATCTTCAATTTTTCTATATCTGATGAATTCATCTAGGATGTTTTTAAACTGTGGCTCAGTTATTCCATCTATGAGGTTGGGTAGATTCGCTAAACAGAGAACATATATTTTGTAAAAAAATATTTTTTCGCTAAAGAGAGAACATATTTTGTAAAAAAATATTTTTTTCGCTAAAGAGAACATATATTTTGTAAAAAAATACTTTTAGTTAAGCTGAAATGGCTTTGATATAATTCTTAAATATTAAATTTTTTTTTGTCAATAAAATAAATTATTTACTCACGAATGAAATAAGCCCCCTCATCACGAACGAGACCAACTAAAAGAGGAACTTTCATTTTGATCAGCTGTCTGCGTAGATCTGCTGGTGGATCTGGCAGGAAAGCATAATCCACCCCCACAATAGTTCCGTCCACTACTGGACCCCAAGGATTGCCAATTTTTCCCGGCTGGAACATGCACATGAGATAAAACACTTCATAAAGAGGAAAGTTCATTTCTCTAAATAAATTCACTAACAATTAGTAACACTTGACAATGTAATCAATTAATTTTTAAATATCGAATATGCTGATAACTTTTTACCCTACATGTGAAATAAAATTATAATCTAATTAGAATATATTTTGACTGAATGAAAAGACTGTCTAGTTTTAAATACAGCACTAGTAACACAACAAAATAATTTTTGCGTCCGTTGATTGTTAAGTACAAAAGAGAAAATTCTCACCATCATAGCTACCAATGCGGAAGCGTTAACTATTTGCTCAAAGCTCCTGTAGTAGCGCAGGCAGTCCACCATCTGTTGTGAGTCTGTAGTTGGACATCCAACCTGTTTACACAACCTCTGTGCATATTCACGGGCATCAGCTTTAGAAATCACTGCCCATTCACTTAGCTCAGATCCACTGAGCATTATAGCTTGATTGAACAAATCTATAAAAAATAGAACACAAAATTCAATGAATATTTTAGCTTGGTGGAACAAAGTAGAATATATATATAATTTCATGAAGGACCATGCGGGACACCATGTAAGCACACCGAACAGCCCCCTCCCTCGCTCTCTAAGCATATCACTACCAACCCCACCAGTCTGGGGAGCTGTGGTTCACACCAAATGTTAACAATCGTAGAGCCGGCTTGAATTAATGAATGATATTAGGGGTAGGTTTTTTTAAGTTTTTAAACTATTTGAAACTAAGGGGAGGTAAAAACAAGGTCTGCTTGATCTGCTTTCACGGGGGGGGGGGGGGGGGGGGAGAAGGGAGGGTGAGGATAATTGTCCGTCCCGTGCTACTGATACTGTTTTAAGGCAAAATATTTTCAGTCGCAACATTGGTAGTGTTGAGTTCACAAATTATGAATTACTGAAAAGTAGAAAATAAAACAACTAAATAGCGGCATACAGGTGCATTCAGGGACAACCTTAAAACACACGTCTGGAAATCAAACTTTTAGCTTTGTAGTCATGCGATCTACTCATTGTGGAGTTGTGCCCCTCAACTTTTTTCATGTTAATTGTATCACACTAATTAAGAGAAATTAGCCTATAACCTGATACACAAAACTGAACTCACCTACACTTCTGGGTGATAAAATATGCATGCCAACACTGGCTGCACCTGCACTGTGACCCATAATGGTAATTTTGTCTGGATTCCCTCTAAATGACTTGATATTTGCTTTCACAAACTTCAGTGCTTTTACTTGATCAAACATCCCATAATTGCCAGCTGAATAGCGATCACCTGTACTGAAAAAACCTGAAGCAAAAAAAGAAAAAATTAATTAAAATAATTAAACTTAGCTAGTAATATTTTTTTTAAACAAAACATTTCAATAAAAAACAGTTAAACTTACACTGAGAGCTGTTGACAAGATAAACTAAATTGTGTCACATACCTAGAGCATTGAGCCTGTAATTAACAATGACAATCACAATGAATCTTTCAGCAATAAAAACACCAGGAAACTGTTTAGATGCGCCCATTATGAAACCACCTCCATGGAAAAACACCAGTACTGGATACAAATTTGGGTTATTTGTAGGTGTCTCATTTGTGATCTGGTGAAAGATTTGAAAAATTTGAACTTGTAAATAAAACGATTATCTAAGGGTTTTTTTGTAGTCATATTCCTTTTTGTATTCATAAAGGCATTTGGAATATTTGTTTCCCTTTACAAGAAGTATGAAAGAGGAAGCACATTTTTAAAAAGTATGCTACTTACATTTGGTGTGTAAATGTCTAGGTAGAGACAATCTTCAGCAACTTCTGAAAAATCCCATACTGTTTCTTTAACCAACCAGGGCATTTGTGGGCATGCTGGCTTATGTTTGGTGGCATCATAAGTTCCATACCAGAATGGGTCTTCATCTGGATTCTAAAAAATAGAAATCATTTCATTGGAAAATAAAGACACCCCAAATATTGTTTGAATACAAATTAGCATTTTTTCTGTTATTAACTTTTATTATAAAATTTTTCTCCTGATTTCTACAAAAAAATTGTAACATTTCAGCAACTAAATTGTATGTGTAAAGAGCATAATAAATATTCATATAGATATTTTAAATACTTAAGAGTAGTTAGTAATCTATTCCAATGATTTGGAATACTCATAAATAAAATAATATTTAGAATGGAACTATATTTAGGCCTACAGAAGATTAAAAAATGTTAATTTGTACTGACATGAAATCTGTATTTCTCTTTCCACTCACTCCCATATTGATCTAATGTTTTAGCATAGGGCACGCCAAGATAAGCATTGATCCATCTGTTAGGCAGGTTTTCATACTGTGATGAATAGGTTACACCTCTTATCTGAAATATAGATGCATTAAAATAGGGTTAATTAGTTCTTGGTCGATTAAAGTTATTGATTGGTAACACCTTTTTTCATATGTTATGTGTTGTCAGGTCTTTTTTATAGTTTTGGTTACTTAATAATTTATGGTTCCATTTCTGACATTAGTTTAGGATATAAAAACTGTATATAGATCTATGTCAAATGTTGATCTTATATATTATATAAATGTTGAAAAATTTTGAGAAAACAATGGGTTAATGAAAACAATCCACCCCAAGCGCAACCATTCAACTGTCAACCACATGGTACAGTTAGTTTTGTCAGAAGAATAAGGCTGAAATGGTCATTTGAGCCCTTTGCGCAGTTATTAACATTGCATGTCACATCATCTGCTGGCCAGTCTAGAGGCTGGGGTCAGAGGATTCTTCTGAATTATCACTTCCGATAATAGAAATAAAAAATCTTTTTCTTTGATTATTCTTTAAAATAAAAGCATTGGAGCTCATGGCATCTAGCCTATTAAATAATTATTAGGAATTAAATTAATAATTGTGTTAATAGATCTAGATCTATTTCTTTTTCTATGTCCTCCTAGCTAGTCTGTAGTCCAGTCTACTTAGTAACTAGAAAAAAAGTAGGCCTAGGCCTAGATCTATACATTATTCAATTAGGCCTACTCAGAAGTCTAAGGAGATCTCAGTCTCAAGATCTAAATCTAGATTCTAGGTCTAATTCTTATTCAGTAAATTAAAAATGTCACTGTGTCCTACCGGTCCAAATTTTGTGGGAATCACAACATTGCCCATGATACTTTTGATTGGCGGTCGTTGTGACTGTGACCATGATAAGCAAACAAAAAGCGCTACAAATAAAAAGACGACCGCCTTGAAGGCGAGTTGGACTGTCATTTTTATTTGTAGACTAAGATCTTTATGGGTCAGATCATGAGTCGTGGACTGGTACTGGTGTGTGTAGACAAGGAGCCACAACCAGTCGTACACATAAAGTTATTTGTTGTCAATCACTTCCGTGATTAATCCTCCATATTTTTTAAAACATTGGTTGACACGGGTCATGTGACCTGAGAAAAGGTAGGAGACGCTTTATACTAACTTCACCTGTCACAGGTAACTTTAAAGGGAAGTAATTCTAATATTGTCGCAGTTTTTGAAACGCGACACACTGACACAAAATAAAATTAAAAGGTTAATAATAAAGTTAACTAATTATATTTCTATCAAAGATGAATAGGCCTAATGAAATATGAACTAGTATTAAACTTTCCTTTATTCTTCCTTTTTAATATTAGAGTTAAGACCAACGGCTCTCACTCAAAGTAGTCGTAGGGGCGATCGAAATGGGGGAGGGGGGGGGGGGGGCGGTAAACGCATCAAGAAGGAACCCCTCGTCCCACTGAGACAAATTTAAAAAAAAAAAAAATAAATAAAAAACTACCTTTGGTCACCAAAGTTTGAGTTGAAATGACCATCATTATTAATTTTTTTTTACATATTTAAGAATAGAAACGAATACAATAATTTGACGATAACAAAAACAAAATAAATTGTAAGCCAGTTTTACGGAATTTTCATATCAGTCGTAAATCAAACAAAACAAAAAAGTTCGAATGCTGAACTATCTGTTGAATTTAGGCTACTACTAATACACTGGTAAAAGTATATATTTCTATATAAATTATATTTCGTTTTAGGGGAGGGCGGTAGACGTCCTTCGGGGGAAGGGGAGGAGCCCCCCCCCCCCCCCCCCCCCCCGAAGAGATGCCTGAAAGAAATTCTGTTTAGCCCGTTTACGTAACGAAATCGAACATGGTATTGTTATCGCAAGAATGCTACGCCCAGAATTAATGTTATAGAGATGGGTTATTCGAAACTGGCATTTAAAGACGTAAAGTGATATAATAGCGAAATATGCTAACTACAATATTATTTGAGAAATCCAAAACTGTGTACAATGTCAATGAAAGGATATTCACATTTTCACGTGTGCGCAATTTTTTTGGGTTGGATAAGAACATAATAATGTCAGTAGAAGGGTTTCTCAATTTTTGTGACGTGTTGATAATTAGGGGAGTGGGGGAAGTCATTGAGATTTAGGTCACTTGGTTTCCATGGTTTGGGTCAGGGTAATGTCGTGGATCAGAAGACTAAACTACATTAAATCTCAACTTTTAAATTTGATTTCGTGAGTTGTTTAAGTTTCAAGATGTTTTTAATTGGTTTGTATTCATTTTTACTTTCTCGTATATGAGTTATAGGGACACTTTTTTTTTTTTAGAAAACTGAAACGATGAGCTGAGATGAAATTTAAAGCTGAAATTCTATGGAAATAACAGTGGGACGACCAGAGGCGTCCCAGTCAGCACACATATATTGGCCCAATATTGGCTAAACATTGGTTACCAATATTGGCTACATCTTGGTGCAACATTGGCTTAACCTTGGCGAAACATTGGTAGTGAAACTCGGCATGATGTTGGCGCAATGTTGGCACAATATTGGCTATATCCCGGCTACATATTGGCCCAACATTGGCTAGATCTTGGCCAAATATTGGCTATATCCCGGCTACATATTGGCCCAACATTGGCTATATCCCGGCTACATATTGGCCCAATATTGGCTACATCTTGGCTCAATATTGGCTATATCTTGGCCCAATATTGTCTATATCATGGTTACATCTTGGCCCAATATTGGCTACATCTTGGCTCAATAATGGCTATATCTTGGCCCAATATTGGCTATACCTTGGCTCATCCTGTATTATATCCTGGCTACATCTTGGCCCAATAATGGCTATATCTCGGCTATACCTTGGCTCAGCCTGTATTATATCCTGGCTACATCTTGGCTCAAATTTTTATTTTTAGCATACAAAAAGATCCATTCTCATATCAGTCATAATATTTACAAAGGTAATTTCAAAATGTGAAAGAAATTTTAATCAAAATGTAGTAAAGCAGCAATACATACACAAGAACTGCTCATCTATTAAAATCTGTATTATACCATCCATTCAATTGTAAGAAAATTATAACTATACTATAAAGTATTGATTGAAAAAGAATAAGTAAATTATAGTGTAGTAACTTTCATTTTGACTTTTATACAAACAAATTAAAACAAATATACAAAACATTTTCATATAATGTAACAGATGTTAAGCAGGCCTACAGTTTAAATTAAACTAATGTAAAAACTTAGTTTACTGTACAAGAATACAGAAGCTGTCTTGTACTATGATACGTAAACATAACATTAAAAATAAAAGTATAAAATATTTGTCTAACAACATTTAATTGCATAGCTCGTTTAAGTATTCTAATTAAGGTTTACATTTTAATGCTGGACCAGTCTGCCTTGTCCATAAATAACAGAACGAAAATATGTTCAGGATCTCTAGATTATAATTGTGGTTAAATAGTGTTGAAATGAATGCCATTGTGTATACAAAATGTACAATCTTTCAAAAGACAGATGGTTCGAGGGTTTATACGCATTGTGTAGAACAGGAATATCACTGCGATATTTAATAAATGTTTTTTTGTCTCGAGTATGAGGTATTTAATTATAGTAAACTGAATATATATTAATTTACTTCATTAATTAGAAATAAATATCACCAGCAGAAGTATTGTCAATACAAATGTTGCAAGCTTTTTTCAGATTGTACAGTGAAACTAAATAATGAAAGAAATTTGCAACTAATTCTTTAAAGAAAAAAATGTCAATTGTATATTTCATTTAGGGCATTAAATCTACACTAAACATACATACAATGCCAACTTAAATTATTATATTATTACAAAAGGAAACAATTTATTAATTTAAAATCAGCATTTTTCTTAGACTATTTTGGTAAGAGCATCTTTTCTTTTCGTTAAGCACTTAAATGCAATATGTATTAAACTGTTAACCTGATCCATCTGATCAAATTTTTTTTTTTAAATCTGATCTAAAATTATTACGAAAATCACCGTTGTCCTCATTCTTGTGGACCCTTGTGGAGCTGAGAGACACAACCACACCTCTCTATTTTTATACTTGGTTTTAGGAGATTCCCCAAAGTTGTGTCCATAAGACTCTGCCTGCTTGTGTTTTGTTCGTTTCTGATATTTTCCATGTTTGTTTTGGATAACAAACTTTCTCTTTCCTTTGGGATTCAAATCCAATAAAAGCCTGGTTGTTGATTTGTGCAAGGTATGTCATAATCCATCCACATTCTAAAAAAGAAAAGTTACACACTAAAAGTCATTTATGAAATAATTACAACCATACACTGCTCATTTTGCACTAAATTTATTATGTTTATTTTATTTTGCACTGCACTGAACATACAACAAGAAGCCCCTAACATCATGTTTGCTACCTTGTAACGATATATTATATAGGTATAAAGACTGGTGGTCTGGGGTGTTCATGCTACCCAGGTAACACTTATACTGCATATATATATATATATATATATATATATATATATATATATATATATATATATATATATATATATATATATATATATATATATAAACAAAAGTGAAAAAAAAGACCTGGTAATAAAAAAAATAATAGTATGTATATAAATATTATAAACCCCTTACCCTATGTCTCTGAGCTAAGAAGGTGCCAGAAAATTTTTGAGCAATTTCATCAACTTTATCAATTCAGTAATTGAACGATTAGACCCTTCAGAGTGACCCAGAAGTAATGCTTGTGGTCTGAAATTATTTTACTAATATCAGTAAAGGCATTAACTACACATGCTGATCAATACATGCAAGCAAAAATTACTAAATGAAA